ACACTCCTCTAATAATATTCTTTGTATTTCTAATAAAATTTCTTGCAATTTCTAATAAAAATTCTTGACCGTGAGAAATTCGATGTACAGTAGAAGGTTAATAATTAATTCCTAATTAATTAATTTTCATTTCAACGTTTTCTTAAAGTTTTTCCCAGCAGAACAATACCAAACGACTATTATAGCAAGAATGGTTACTCTGTAATTCACAAGTGTATTTACAAAATTTTCATGTTCAAGGCTTCAATTGACAATTTTGATGGCGTCACAACTGTAATTATTACTGCACAAACCCTCGAAATGCTACTTTTTTCGACGGAAATGCGCGTAGAAAAACGTAAAAAATCCAATACGCGCCGTTACGCGTGAAAATTACCATTAATTTTACAATTTTTCACTTTTAAAAAATCTGGATACCTCTGCCAAGTATGGTGCAGTCAAAATCATATTTATCAAAACATCACAGCGCCAGGGATGGTATTAATGACTGAAAATACATGCTAAACCAATAATAAGTCATTATAAAGAAGTTAATGTTATTGATTTCCTGTCTGAGTCTTTTTTTTACCTTTCTTATATTCGGATCAGGATGACATTACCGGATCCAGCTTAATGCATTCATGCCCAGTAATGCCAACGGAAGTATCAGACTCATTCTTCTTTGATGAAGGGATTGTATTTACCAAACTAATATGGTAAGCTTCCTTACATCATATCCGCAATTTATGATGGTATTTCTTATTTTTTTAAAAACCGCCAAATTCCGAAATGGATATGTCGGCAAATTTGGATGGTACATTTTAAAAGTTTTTTTTTTCAATAATATAATATGTTAATTAGCCATACATTTTCATCATAATAAGAATATTAATTTGATAAATAGATCATTCACCAATTCCATATGTAATTTTTTCATTCAACATGTATTACATTTGAAGATTCAAGCCATTGATTGTCATATTCCAACATATTTTCACATATTCATAATTAATTTAGATAATTGTATTATTACAGTACATTAATAGTTATAGAAACTATTCGATGACCATAAAGTGATTTGCGTCGGCCAGGCACAAATTTCTTAGACAGTACTAGGTTGACATTCACCTACCATTTGTGATGACTGATGAGTACGCTTCTTGTCACGCCCCTACATTTTGATCATATAATGTCACATAGCCTGTAGATCATCCGTCAGCACCTCTTCCCACTCTCTGGATATATCGTACATATCTGTCGAACCATGTTGATGTTTAACTACATAGATCCAGTTTTTGAATTTCCGGTAGACAGTTCCGAGAGTTGAAGATATATCGTTCTGGCTGTCATATCTGTTTTCTCTATCCAAGTTATATTCGAGTGTTATGGTTTCCAATTTAAGAATACTGTACATTTTTAGAATTGCCAAATTGTTTTCGCCTGCACAGGAGTTGTCGAAGATTGATTGTGGGGAAACGTCTAGTTTTTTTCCGCAGATTTTTTTCCAGAGTAAGCCTAATTTCTTCGTGTATTTTCAGGTATTTTGGGTATTCAAGGATTATGTGTTTTGTTGTGTCTTCCTGATTTGATCTATGGCCAAAGAAAAAGTCATCCACCGCTACGAGGTAAGCACATTGACGTTCGATATTCATGAAATGTTTTTTCAGTGTGAGGTCCAAGAGATGCATGGAGTGCCAATCACGTGTTAGATGTAATTTTGGTGGTTGGTCCTACTTTTTCAATTTGAATCTAATAAATATGGACCTTAAAGTTGTAGTAGTCCATTCATCCGGTGTGAAATCTAATACATGAACAAGATTAATTATATGCTGCCAGTGAAGGTTGACTTTTATTGAGTGGGGCATCGAATTGGAGTACAGAGATTTGTTTAGTGAAATTATTTTGGATCCCAGAAAAAATGAGCCTCAGGGTGCCAGAATTCAGTCGGGGAAATTAGCGAACATAGCTGATTGACTTTATGTACCAGGCAAGATTGTGCTTTCAACTTGACGTCGAGCATATTAATGTACCCGTTTGAATAATGTTGTGGTAAAGTTTTCCTGTTCCAATTGCAGTTTGTGAATAAATGACATTGGGATACTGTGTACTCTAGCGCTGTAGATTGTCAGGGAAAGAGCAAGAGAATTTAATACTGTGATTCTGCCAATCCAGGATAGCATTCTTGGTTCGGTTCGATTAAGGATTTGCCTAATTTTTGTGCATTTTTCTGTCCATGTAAATTTGGTAGACCCGCGGCCAAAGTAGACTCCAAGTATTTTTATTCTGTTTCTTCCAATTCTTCATATGGTGTTGACTGCAATAGGGTTTCGGCTGATTTTGTGGTACATAAAATCTCTGTTTTTTTTTTTCCGAATTCACTTTCTGTCCCGTAACTTTTGAGTATCTATCCAGGTCTTTAAAAATGTGCTCTATTGAGAATGGGGAACGAATTATAAACGTGGCAACATCAGCGTATTGCTTCAATTTTTTCTCCATCTTATCCAGCATAACACCTTCTATACGTTCATTTGCAAGAACAAGTCTTGCAAGTGGTTCTGCGTTCAACGTATAGAGAAGCATGCTGAGGGGGCAGCTCTGCTTAATTCCACGCAAGATTTGAATGTCCTCCGTAAATGCGCCATTTACATCCACAATGCTAACAATGTTGGTATACATGCCTTTGATCAGGTAGTTGTTTTATCCGGCACGCCCACCGTTTCCAAGATGTTAAAGAGAAATTGGTGGTCGATCGACCATGTCAATAGCTTTAAGTTGGTCCACCGTCATGACAAATGTCGAGAGGTTCTTTTCACGAGAATGACGTATCACACTGTCCAGGTTGTTGTGAATGCCATGGATAGATCTTCCAGTCAGGGTCGATTTTTGGGTCCTTGTGATAACACCATCCAGCACGTGTATAACGCGGGTTGATATAATTTTTGCCATGATCTTGTAGTCAACGTTCAAGTTCAAGGTCGCCAATTTTTCAACTTCGTTTTCTCTCCTTTTTTGTGAACAAAAATGACTTTTGCGTAACGCCAGCTATTAGGGAGTTGTCGATATATCAAGACGTTGTTTATTATTTGGGTGAATTGTAATTTAATTAAGGGCCAAAATGTAATATAAAATTCTTTCCCATGACCGCCCAAGGAGTCTTCTTCCGTTATAAGAAGGTCCAAATTTTCAGCTCCACCAGGTGGATAAGTTTTTGGATGGTGCACTGATTTTTCCTATAACGGATTCGGTCAAAGAAAAAACGGGAGGGGTTTTCTTCTTCCTCAGTGGCCTCACTGTGAGCTATTATTTTCATGAAGTCGTTTTTGTGTTTCTGTATTAGCTGAAGTTTTGATTCTAACTCATGGATTATGCCTAACAAAGACTTCACTTGTGATCTGTATCTGTAGGTCTCGAAGCTTCTTTGATTCGATGTTTTCTTTGATTCGGTGTAAGCATGCTCTGATATGCTTCTCATGATCATCATCAGTTTTGCTAAAATTATAAATGTCATCAGAAATATTCTTCACACCTTTTAGTCCTTGAAGAACTTGTTCAATTATTAGGATGGGGCCGAGATTCGGATTCGTGTCGAATCCATGCATTTTTCTGGACTCGGATTCGAGCCCACGTCATTTTTACCGAATCCATAATCAATCATGTTTTTTTCTAATTTACGCCTACGTTATGTACTTCTACATTTATAAAGCTCGGAACATACCCCAACTAGTTAAAATTCAAGATTGGATCTTTAAAAACACATACATAGGTAATGTATCACTTGTATGCATTACAAACAATCCTAATAAAAATGACGAGAGATATCGAAATAGAATAACGCAAATTGTAACTATTGATCACTTATGTCCTATACCAATAATGTCACCGCCCAAACTATCTATCCTTTTGGTATACAATATTTCTTGGCGCAATATATTTGAGTTTTCGGTTGGCTTAGAAATGAAACATGATCTACCACGAGGAAATACCCGCTCATTCATGATAAAAATCATTTCATATTTATGATTATTCAACACAAGGGATCAATCCCAGGGGCAATTGCATCAATAACTCCTTAAAATTGAGTTGATTGCGTTCAATTTTATCCCTAAAAAAAGCGAGGAGAGTTTTGCGGAGAACTACGAAAGTTCGTACCAAGCGAAGTAAATTACTAAAACTTCAAGCAAAAGAACTTAAAATCAGTGATTATAGAATTTTTACGTGAACTACTGAATTGCAAGCAGACGTAACACATTGTATTGACGAATGGCATCTCTCTACTATTTACGCAAGTAAGATATAGTGAGCTCAAAATAATTGACTGACATGTGAGGATTTTGAAATAGCCGCCCAGAAGTAAAGGCGATGGATGGGAAATGCAGTTCACAACCAAGGCGAACATTGACCCACGTTCACGTTTGTATTGCGGCTAAAAAAAAACAAGAGGAAAATATATTCCTAAAATGGTTCAACAGCTTGAACCATTAGGCAAAAAATACGAGATACGATTATTGTTTTTGAGCCCACGTTGCTGTATCAGAGTCAGAAACATATTTTACTTCTTTTCCATTATGACGTCACGGACTCGGAAGATTCGATTCGAGTCCTTGACCTATTACTCGAATTTGCCGAATATCTGTAATTCCGAACTCGTCCCATCCCTATCAATTATGAATTGGAATTTTTCAGTCACTGCATTCACCCCAAAATTGAGACATTCGTGTTTATGGATCCAAATGTGTGTACTAAACGTTGTGAAATATCTGCTGTCTGGATGCAACTCTATTTGATGATATTCTTGATTTAAATCTAATTTTGAAAATACTTTACATTCATTCAGGTCGTGAATTAGTTCATCCATTGTTGGTATTGGATGTTTCACTCTCTTGATAGTTTATTTGCAGATCTCATATCCGTGCACAATCGAATATTTTCAGAATCACTGATTTAGGTAGCACAGCTATAGAAGATACCCACGGAGTTGGTGTATTATCCACATCTTCGCAGATATCATTTTCATATAACTCTCATATTGCTTTTTCCACTTTAGACCTGGATTTATATGGTACTCTTCCGTGTTTTTGATGTACTGGATCCACAAATTCATCGATGTTCAGCTTTAATTGGCATTCTTTGAGTTTTTCGACACCGTGAAATAGAATTTCTGACAGAATTTCCTTTGTACGCCTTTCTCGTTCATTTTCAATGGAATGTATAATCTTCAGTATTTCAAGTTGTTTTGCTGTGTCATTAGACATTAAACAACTGTTGGCATGTTTTGTTACATAGAAATAAGCTGACAGTTGCTGGCCATCATTTGACTTCACATTTGCAGCAAATTTGCCTATGAATTTCAATGGTTTTTCACTGCCATAAGCAAATACCTTTGTATCAGCAGGACATAACTTGCCACATTTTAGAGTATTCTTTCGTATCTCTCGATACGCTTTGTTGTGTAGGTCTAGGTTATACCTAGAACCACTGTCAACAATAAAACAGCATTTATCACTATTAACATCCATTTCAACTGTTGGAAGCTGATTAGATATCTGAGACTGTTCAACCTTCATTGCGTATACTGAGTCATCACAACTTTAGATTCAACTTTACTTGAGTTGTTTGAGCTTGCATTAAAATTATTAACAAAGCGTGAAAACTTCTCTTGTCTTGGCTTCCTACAAAACTTTGCAAAATGACCCTGATTATTGCAATTGAAACATATTCAGCCTTTAGCTGGACACTGACCTTTGTGTGGAAACGGGCCGCCACAATGAAAACAAATTTTCACTGAGTCATTGTTTTTCTTGCGTGTTTTGTTTCGGTTTACTGATTTGATCCGATAGACAGTTTCTTCAGTGTTTTCCTCCATCACGGACAAGTTCCATTGCTTTACCTATGTCGAGTCGGGATTTTGAATCCATCTTTTTGCTTCAACTTTTTTTCTTCAATTCAGTCGATTTGAATCCCTGAATTATTTGACTTTTGATTTTCCCTTCTACCTTTTCAGGATCAAACTCACAGTTTACTGCCATTTACTTAAGTCGTGTGCAAGATTGATTGTGCAAGGTTCGGCACTTGACAAATCAGCACAATCGAAAATTGGATAGTACAGTAACGCAGACGCCATTTTTCACGTTTGAAGTTAGCAGTCACACAAAGTAGCGTTACAGTACGGTAGCACCTGGAGCAAACTTTTCCGACGAGCTTAGCTATTCCATGTAACACAGGCTTCAATTGCTCACAAAATATATATTGCATGAATGTAAATAGGAATACAACATATGCCTGTCGCTCACATGGATTAGTTCTAGAATCTTCTATCACGCGGCCCAAACTAGATCACTGGATGTCTTCATATTATTACGTCATAGACCGAATATAAGACATAGAACATAGTAGTATTTCATGAACATTGCATGTAGGGGAAGGTGGGGCACGTTGGGACATGGGGCACAGTGGAAAATCAGCTCTCACACTAATACTATATTCGGAATCCGGTCCGCGGTTTGATGTTTCAATCCGCCCTTCGGTGAGTTACAACGTCCCCGCAAACGGACTGCGGACGGGTAGAGCGACGCAAGCTATGAGGTGAAATTGGTTTTGGGGGGTTGAAACTAAAATTTCACCGTTCCAGTTTTTTCTTTTTTCTAACTTAGCCTTTTCAACGTGACAAACCACCGTCTGATATCTTTCAGCTATAGTCCACCGTGAAATATTTATAACGTTGGCGACTGGATGTGCCAACCGAATTTCGCCGTGGGATGATCTGAAGATATTTGTTGATTATGGGGAACAGTGGACCGGGGTTCAGTGGGACATGCCATACATGGCACAATTCGACAGTGTTTGATACAACAAGTGCTTAGAGACCTAGAGATGCGTTATATTTTTATGTAACATCATGTTATCTTTCGACTCATGGTCCAATATGAAATATATTCGAGAATCAAAAATATTTCCAGATTTAGATTCGGATTAGAAAATATTTTAATTTGTAAGCGAATTTGTTGGTGAAATATCTGAAATATTTCGGTTAAACATTAATTTTAAAAATCTTAAATCTTGAAATTTGAGGTCTCCCTGTTCTTTAAACGATTATGCTGATTGATTGCTTATTTTTGGGGGCATACTTCGTTGAATTTTAACAGAATGACCCATTGTGCCCCAGGGTCTGTCCGAATGTGCCCCACAAGTGGGGTACAGTGGGACACTTGACAAACGTTTTTCAAAGCATTTTGGTGGTAAGATGTGTGTCGCGAGCGAATTTCTTAGTCGCTGAATAAAAACCACATTTACCCCTCTCTGCATTAATCCCGCAAAGTCATATGAATGTGCAGAATAAAGATCTCAAAATATGAAAAAGAAAAAAAGTGTCCCAACCTTCCCCACTTTCCCCTACGTGTGTGATCGGCAAAGCGTAAATTAAAATAAACTGATTGTCTTCTAGCGGTTACTTCCATCTTCAGATACGGAACATTGAAGTCGATAAGTCGAATAGTTTTAGAGAAATAACAAATATTTGTCTGATTTATTTTTAAGACCTTAGTCTTTGGGGTTTCGTTCGGTTATAAAATTTCCATATAAAAACCTTACAATATTAAAACACTTTCAAAGTAGGGGAGACCGGGGATAGTTGGAACATCTGGCTACTTATTCGTAATTATTTCTGCAGTCATGTACCATATTACAAAGTCTATGGCGTCCCACGTACCTATGTTCTTGCCCCACCTAACAGTAACCTTTAGTTCCCCACAACGCATTTCGTCTGCAAAAAATTGGACCTCGAATGTGCGCGTGCAATTCGTTCCAACATGCCCCGGGGACGGGGTAGCTTGGACCAGTCATGGGGCAAGTTGAGAAGTGAAAGAAAAATGATGAACAAGTTAACGAACTCAAAGAAATTTCTTAAATTCAACCACGGTACTTCGCAGAGGATCATATGGGGACAGATCCGCAGAAAAAGTTAGCTTTTCTGCACATCTCGCAGTGCCACCTATGCGCATCGGCGCAGGAAGCTTCATTGCTATGTCATCCTTTCGGTACAAAGCGACGTCTTCTTCACGCGGATACGAAAATGCCATGGCATCGGTTCTTTTCATATCCACTCGTCTCAAAAATCTTGTTTTCATCTCTACGATTTCTGCGTCGCTCGTACCAGAAACTTCCAGAATTTTTCCGATATAGTGCGCGATGGATCGAAATCCTCGGAATCTCACCACAACAAAATCACCCTGCTCGAATGATTTGCCCTTTTCCTCTATGTCTTCCTCGCTGTCATCAGTGGTGTCGTGAATAGACATAACATCCTCCTCATCTGAAGTCGTTTAATCATTGACCGTAGCACTTTTCCTGGGGATCTTGCGTTGCATAGTTTTGGTACTGGATGCACTCTTTTTTAGATATCTAGCTAAAGACATGTCTTTTTCAGGAGTTCGAGTCAAAATACAGGATTTTTTCTGTTTTCTTCTCACACCGATCTTTCGCGCCTGTAGCTCGGGTTTCGTGATTGGTCGGACCATTTCTGGAGTCACTCCGGTTACGGACTCGACTTGCGATGGCCCTCGGTTATCAATGGGAACTTCTTCTGGGGGCGGACGTTCAGTGGCCAAAGACGGGGAGAAGTCATCTTCGACAAAATATTCCTATCCAAAGGGTAGACCGTAGATACCTGTTTTGGAAAATCCGCTGATTATATTTGATTTGGAAAACGACCTATGGAAGCTCTGGGACGCCAGTTGAGGTATGTCGTATATTGTGATGCGTTCCCCCTTGTTCGAAATTAGTCGACTTTCTATCGCACCAGTGTAAAAAGTTGAAAGCAAAAAAGACTGATACATCCAAGGGTTGAAGCTTGTGTGAGCAATGCGGTGGGAACGACAGAAGAACAATCCCATGAGATCTGGCAAATTCGATAACTGGATAGTCAACATGGGATTCATGATTGTCTAGAAGTAGTAGTATCGGGTGCTCAATAGTGAAGCGCACGTGCGCCTGGAAATGTGCCAAATATTGGACAAAATTTCCCATCTTCATCCATCCCGAATCGTTTGCCTCCCCGACAGAGCCTGCTGGGCAGCCATTAAGGAAATATGAGCGAAAATTAACTCTTGGAAATAGGAACATTGGTGGCACAGTATTTCCAATAGCATTTACAGCACAACAAACTGTTACCATGGTACCCCTTTCGGCGGAAGTGGCAGTTCCTACAGGGCGATTGCCCTTCTCTGCCAACACTAAGTTTGGACGTTGTACTGTGGAACACCCGGTTTCATCGACATTCCATATCTCAGAGGGCTTAAAATGGTACTCGTTCATGATTTCATACAAGTTGTCAAAAAATATTCCTACATTGTGTTCATTGAATGCAGACATCCGTGCAATTGATGTTGAATCAGGTGTTCTTATCGATATGTTCTTATTTCTAGTCATAAAATCTGAGAACCAATCACTGCCAGCCTGCTTCTCCCTTTCCCAGGACTGAGGATATTGTATCTTCCTATCCTCTTGACTTTCTTTATCGCCCTCGCAAAATCATACGCTACTCTCCGAAGTTCCAAGGGTGTAAGACCGAAGAACAATTTGGCTGCTCTGATTGCATACTCTGCTAATTCTTTTTCCTCTCCTGCAGTAAAGACGAGACTGCTTTGCTTGTAGCCTACATGTCCAACATCAGAATCCATCCTATACTTTTTAACATATCTAGTGAGGGTCACATGGGGAATACCAAATTCTTTGCCGGCCTGACTGATGGTTTTTTGATTTTCTACAACTTCCTTTACCGCATGCAGCATTTCTATTTTTAAAGTTTGACTTCGTTCACTACTGCGTTTGTATTTCCTCATTTCTCATTAAATTATTTTCACTAAAAATGATAAAACTATGGATAAGCTAGGGCAGTAAATTCATAAAGTAATCACTTACAACTGTCCTAACTGGCACAGCACGGCGATTGATTGCTCTCAGTAAGCTTGGGATAGCGGTTTAATCGATGGGTGAGGCCCATGGGGCAAGTTGAAACGGTTCATATTGCCCCTTGCAGCAAAGTTTCAACTGGCCCCGACGTGACTAGGCAAAAGAAAATGGCCGCCTTGGACGGAACAGTTAGTGCCATGCAGCCGAATCTCTGCTAATGTCAGCCTCTCCTACATATGTCTCTAGTGGCGCAATATCGGACGGATCGTCTATGGCATAGGTTCTCAAAGTGCTCCGTACGGAGCCCCAGGGCTCCGCGAGAGAAACCTAGGGGCTCCGCGAGCTATTAGACTACTTTTCGAAATACCGACTTGGATAATTTTGTAACTGTCCAAAGACGCAATAACAGCTTTACTAAAATTTGACAACAGTATAGTCGCGATTTTTGCAGCAGATAACGAGATTTCTGTCGCGTAAAATATTCAATCCATGATCGATGCGAGCATTTAAAATGTCTTGTCATAATAATTTAATGGTACTCATCGTTACTCACGTTTGATTCGAGATTACTAAAATAAAAATTTACTATTCTAAAATAACATAAAATACGTGATAAACTGCCAACTACAAATAAAATCGTATTTTGGGAATTTGTCAAATATGATTTGTTCTTTCGCACTCGAGATTATTTTTAGGCGAGATATTGCCGTTTCAAAAATCCCCAGGTCGCGCGTTAAAACTCAACAAGTACAATTTACAATTGTGCAATCCATGACCAATGCCGGCATTTTTGAACAGACTTGTTTATCGGTTTAATTGTGTTCGATGTAATCTGCAGTTGTGCCGACTCACGACAATAAAAATCATTACTTCTCAAATTATCGCGACAATCCGCGGACATGAAATGAGAAACAATGAAACGAAGTTAAGTGAACGAAGTTCTTGTGGACTACCGTTTATCCTGAACGACGCTGTTATCATAAGATATATATTAGAAGCAAAGTCATACTGTCCACAAAAGAACATACCTACTACTGGTGCCAGTAGTTTGATAAGATATTTGTGACCGTCCCGATTAAATCGTAATCATGACTGATAGAGTGGTAGATTATAGCGTATTCGACAAATTTAGGCCGTTTTTTCAACACTAACCCCGCCCCATCGCAGGTCTACCACTCAGATTCTTTGCAAGATATCGCCGTTTAAAAAATCACAAGGTCTGGGCAAAATACGAACGACTGAAATTTATTTTATTGTAGGTACATCACATCACGCGCACAATTGACTGTGTTTCGATTTCAGTTACTATGATGGATAACCAAAAAAACCTAACATAACACCAAATTTTGTGATTACAATGGCTAAAAAAGCGTTTTTAATCTGTCACGAGTCTGCAGAAACAAAATTATAGTGGTATCTTCCGTTTTAAGTTCTAATATATTTTTCATAATTCCGCTTTTCAATCAAGAAATTTGAGTTGCGGATTTACCTCATTTTTAAATAACATGTTTTTCACATTGAACTCATAATTCCCCACGAGAACAAAAAAGCAATTATTGTCGTCATTGTGGAACAATACATGTATATGCCGAAGGAAATTTAGATTTAGGGAGGGAGAATAAACACAGACATAAAGATGTTTAGGGTTTGAAAAACACGTCACTCTGACGAAGACAATCGGCGATTGTAACAAAATGCAATCGCGAACGTTATTAGCGACCTTTTAAGTCTTCCAAAAACATCAAAAGGGAAAAGATTCGACCCCTAATTTATAAATATGTTTGTCGAGTGTCAAATTTACAGCCTTAATATGTATAATTTATCTTTGAAATTCAGATTTATTTATGACTTGTATTAGCCCTATTAAAAAAGGTTTAGCATTTAAATAAAGTAAAGTACTTTTAACTTACTCAGTAATATTGATCGGAAAGTAACAATTTTAATATTTATTTTGGGCTCCGTGAATAATAGTCAACCACTTTGAGGGCTCCGCAACACAAAAAGTTTGAGAACCCCTGGTCTATGGTACCTTACATTCATGAGCAAACATTTGAAAAAATTACCTTCCTGGTTTGGCCAAAATTTCCATCCGAATGTGAATGATATTGCTCTACAAACTACAAAACTAGCTCTACCTCCATGCCCCATAGCAGGTGAAATGGCGATGTTGGTCGCGATTTGTTGCCAAGAGATCACGTGATTTGGGTGCGTCATCTCGCAGAAATCGTTCCAACTAGCCCCTTATACCAACTGACCCCGGTCTCCCCTAATGTAATTACTACAACATACTTCATTTCAATCAATCTGATTTTTGCTTTGGGTAACTTTACATACATGTTTCCCTCGTATGACCACGGATAAAACAGATAAATTCAGCAAAAATAAAGCTCCCTTCATCTCGAACTCAATGGAATGAATAATATTGAGTACAGACACGAATAAAAACACCAGACAACTTCTAATGTTTAGGTTCGTGAACGAACATGACATGAACGGAAATAATTCGCATGGCGTAGCAAATGTTGCTATGACATTTCTGTATTTTTTGAAATGTGAATCGGGAGATTAATGGACTCCGTGATCCTCAGCTCTGATATTCAAGGGTCTCAGAAGTATTATATTCTGTGACCTCATGATTAAACCACTTGAGTAAAAACACGTTCAGCGCTTTTTATCAGTATATATCACAAAATAAGGCCCGAATAACAATGAAAATATATTGCTAACATCACCGTGAAAATATAGCTACAATTATAAGAGTATCACCGAATCGAGCTATAATATGAATGTCTTACAATAAACGGGAATCTGAAATTTCATTTCGTTGTAAAAGTATGTTTTGCTTGGTCTAATATGTTTAGTGAAGTAAATTATCCTCTGTCTACTTTATTTGATTTCAGTAAAATATTTAATCTGCTGTGTTGGACATCCCTAGTTCAAGCAACGATGACGCAAGGTCAAAGTTTGACAATTTGGTATGATGAGATATAAAATCAACACCTTTAAATTGAGCCCTCAATTTGTGAAGGAATGCATGTTAGGCATATGGTATTACAAGACGGTAAAGCAAGTTTGAGTCCCATGTAAAGATGTGAGTTCCAGAATTTTGAATAAACTTCAATTGGAATCCAATCGAAACAATTTTAAAGTATAGATAGATATAGACATTTCTTGTAGTGTGTGGGATGTATGAGTTTTCGCCAATAAAAGCAAGAGCCAAATTAAACTTTAGGACGCACCCGCAAAGCGTATTCATGCGTGTAATGCCTGTCTCAATGAGGTCGTTTCTCATTCATTATCAAAAATATTACGTTGTTTTTACTTCGTAAATGCGAAGGATGAAGTAAGTTGATTGTGTGTGATGGCCAAATCGTTATAATCAACTGGATCAACTGGAGAATCAACAAGCTGGTTCGGCATATCTAGCAAGTGAATTTCTAGTAGAATTTTGTTATGGTCCGGCCCATATCATTTTCAACATATATATTCAAATTTGTTGTTAGTTTCGTTGCCGTTATTGTCAGTACAGATTTGAGATGAGTATCGGCCAATGATATCTGTGAATAGAAATCCGTGAGACCGAATGACTATGAACAAAAGTAATTAGAATCAGTTAAACCGGTATTCTCTGTGCTATCACTAGGACATTTTGAAACATCTCAGCGAACCCTGAAGTTGAATTTCTTGGATTTGAACTTCACAACAGTCATTGTGAGGATCGAGTGTAACTACAACTATTCCGTGCCGTTTCACTGACATGTGACAGAGATCACGAGACAATTTTGAACAATACTTAATGTTAACGTAATGTTACTTGATACGTAATGTTACTTGATAGGATAATTAGCGTGAGTGGAAAAGCTACTCACAACAACTATCCAAAGCCCAGCATTTTACCCAGAGCATATCAAGTCATTTGAAGGGCCCTATTAGATTTAACTGTAGTCTGTAGATTCTTACCAATATACAGGGTGTCTCAAAAGTAAGTATACACGTTCAATTTTGATTTGCTTTTCAGGTACTCATCATAGAGCGTTCATTTCTTCAAGAAACTTAGTACGGATAACTAGTAAAATTTAGGTATCGTTTTAAAATTTAGGTTTCGTTTTATTTTCAAGTCAGTGTTTTTTGTTTTGACATTTAACAGTATACAGTGAGGGACATCAGCACCATCAGACTAAGTGGCATTGTTCAAGTATCCATGTGCTAAGACGCAGTTCTACCATAGATCGCCTTGAATAAGTATTATTTCCCCCTCTATATAGGCACAAAAGCTCTGGGTCCACGCTTTTTCATTTTCACAACCATGCCTGAGTAAAGATATAACTTTCTCACTTATCCAAAGAAACATTTCTAATGGGTTTTTTATTAGACTGTACGTTATCGACGCAGTTGGATATAACACAACAAGCTAACTTGAAGAGTTCGAAACTATAGAGAATCTGTTTGTAACGCAAAAATGCCCCCACACCATAGCTATGCAGTGGATATATATATATAACTCCTGTTTCTATTGCATACTGTTACTCATATTTATTGTATAAATTTTTTAATTAAATATCATTATTCAATAAAATAGCAATTAAGTTTGATGATTACTTGATGAATGAAAAGCCAATTATTCAATTCGCCCAGACTTTGATACTTTTAACTTGCATGGCGGCATTCTCTCCGTTGTTTACATCTGCCTGCCACGTCGGGTACCTAAACAAGAAACGTGTAATTACATCTGTTTTAGCCTATTCTATCATTTTAAAGTCTTCAAAACTTCACAAATATTATTATTCTTCATCTAAGTTTTTGGGTACTCTCGAAGTATGTGCACCAAGATGGCGCACAACCTAAACATAGTACGTGTACCATGTTAGGGTTCAGATTATGAGTCATCCTGGTGCACATACTTCTAAAGCGCCAGTTTTTGTATAGATATTCTTTGTTTTATATAAAATGTGTATAATAGTTACTATAAAGATAACATTTAATCTACGCATTATAAGAAAAATCTAGGATGTAGAGTAAAACATTAATTTACCAAACAAGAGTTTATTAATTGTCATTCTAGCAATACTCGATATATATATATGGATATGTGGCATTATGTCTCTCATGTCTACAATCCCTGGAATTAAAGTTGTCGGTAGCGATTGGCTATGCTTTCAAATGCGTGAAGATTACAGGACTGAAGATATTTGTAGTGTATTACCATTGATTTTTTGCTTGCCAAAAGTCTCTCATTGCAGTTGGTGAGTTGTTGAGCCACGGTTTAGGACTTGGTGAATTAGTCCACGAATCCGGGAAGAAGCCGTTAGTTCCACCCACAGCAACATTTAGAAGAAGATAGAACTGTAGAAAAGGAAATATTATCTTTGTGATATTACTACTATTTTTCAGCCATATTCAATGTTTGATGTCATTTCCAGTTTGTTTCAGCTTTGTTTTACTAAACATAACAGATATGCATACGAAACAAATATTTTTACTCTTCTCAATGAACCATTCTACAAAACAAAATGATGAATTTTAGGCGATGCGTTAAAACATATATATCATTTTAACGAGCCATGTGAATGCATTAAAGGTTATAAAAATTGTTGTAGACTGCTAACTTCTTGGTCAAATGGTGTCATTTTGTTTCCATTTTCCCATGGATTATCAGATCCCGGTGCAGAAGTTCCAAAATCTCCATAATTCCAAAATCCACTACTTCCCGGATCAACTCTTCTGAGAAGATCATCATCAACGTAGAAATCAATGTACTCATCTGTCCAGTCTACGACCCATTTGTGAAAGTCGGTTCCGTATGGGTTTGAAGCGTTGACACTATTAAAAGATTCGGTTAGTCATGTTCTTCAGCAAAAATATGCTCATAACTGTTTTTAAATATTCTCTTGAATAGGAAAAGAACTTTCTATGATTACTGATTAGTGAATATTTTAGTAAAGTTGGAAAATTGTGATATATAACAAACCGTTCAACAGTTGTTAGAGTATATGCGTTCATTGGCCAGTAAGGTCCCCAGTGTAGGGTCATACCCATGTTGTCGTAGCCTTTAGAAACTCCGCTTTCGTCTTTAAGATTCGTGTTGCCTGGTAAAAATGAATTTTAATTAAGATAGATATTAGAATATTGTTACTTTTATCCAACTTAAACAATACACTCATGAAAGTAACGTCCGATTGGTGCTCATAATTTACTTGTTTCGTGTTTTACCAGTCAGTATTAATAGTTGGATAATAGTCAAAATGAGATAGCTTCAAAAACATGTTCACCTCGGGCCTCAACAATATCGATCTCTCCTGACGCTGGCCATCCACCGTATGCGTTGTCCCTGCGAAAAGAATCAAAATGAATCATTTTTTACAATAACGCTGAGCAATCATTGCGCTAAGCAAATAGATATTCCGTCCGTTCCTCTAGTTTTCTATATATAGTCACGCTAATAACCGATTTGCGAAAGTCATTTTTAGCAGTTTCGAGAAAAACGTAAAAAGCTTCCTAATGATATTGCTATGTCATTGAGAGTCAATAATTCGCCATAGTTCAATTTTTGGATCGTAGCCGGATTTAAGTTAATTTGTATGATGCAGTTATGTGACGTCATAATGGCACACTGTGACTTAGCAGAAATGTGTCTATGACTAGGGGACATACGCAATTTTACAACTTGACTATATGTACGAGTCCTGAAAACCAAACAATCCAAAAACGAATGTAATTCTAAGTATTTACGATGTCTAATCCCCAAAATAGCTAATCTTTTTTAATAACATTATTTTTTATGTTTAAAAATATATATTTCATCAATATAACACGCTCTGCACATCCACCGAAATAAGACTAAAGTTAAATATAAAGATAAAACAGCAATGTACCCTTATATAAAAGTCAACCAAGGTGAATTGGACTCAGACAGTGAATATCACAATTCCCAACCTCCCATATACTGTAGTAGAAATTGAAATTTATAAGCGTTACGCTAGAATCTGAGATGTAAAAACTTGAAAATTCTTCGCCGAGGTTTTTGCCTTTGTAACGTCACAATAGTCCTGCGTTAACACTGATAATTCATTATGACGAAAAAATTAAACAAATTTGCATATCATACAAAAATTTTTATGGGTTTCGGAATTCTTAAAATAAAATTTGAGTGCGGAACAGACAGGTGCGCAGCATTACATAAATACCTATTTTATGAAAAACTCAAAACCGCCAAAATTGACTTACGCAATTCGGTTATTAGCGAGACGATATGTGTTTTGTTTTGTCTAAATTGTTTTTATTTTCTTATTCGAATTATTTTGCAAAAGTTATAGGGCCAGGGTAAAGCAGAGCGTCATTTAGAGTAGACAACTGACAATGTAATAGGTTGAATTCGATTTTGTTTCTGATAGAATATAGTTTCTTCAAAAGGACATATGTTTGTGTCTGCAGTGAGAAAAGAAAAAAAAACGCAAATTTATAAAAACAACTGTTTAACAAAAAAATACCTGGGCAACATCCAAATTGCTGGCCACAACCAATCCCCTTTAGGCATTTTAGCTACAACTTCAATGCGTCCATATTTTACAGAGAATGAATGCACACTTCGTATTCTGAAAATAATTATAAAAAATTGACGGTGGGTGACGTTTGCAAACATAATTGCAATCGGCAAATTGATGTTAGAACACACTGCAATACCAGTTACAAATGTAACACACTCACCTAGCCGACTGGGCAGGATTAATGTAGTTCGAACCGCTTCCCGTCCGTTGGCAACCCCAGAATGAGTTTGCAGTGCAGAAATCGGCAGGGCTGCTTCCCCACAAATCAAGTGTCCCGGATGAAAGAAAAGATTCTCCGTAATGATCTGCAGTCAGTGTCTAAATATAAATTATGCACTATGCCGAAAAAGTAATAAAAGCATTTAACAAAATGAATTCTGACAACCACCCTTGAAAATTTAATTCCGGAATGCCAGTTTTATCGAAGTGGTTATATTTTTGCCCATAGCAAGACTTTGTACACCCAGCTATTACAGATACTTATATATTTTATAGTTAAACTTGTTCAAAGTAATTGGTATGTAACCCTGAAATCCGCGTATCAAGCATTTTGACCAAGCAATATTTCTCAGCAAACGTGCTTGTCGAAATACAAATTTTTTTCAAGACAACCTCAAATACCTACAACTTCAACCAATCTAAAATTCTTACTGGTTTGATGAAAAGCGTGTTGTCACGAACATAACTGTTTGTCCTATTGTTGCTGTACACTTGAAACTCCCAGTTACCACCACCAGACATTGTTATCTCATGCTGCCACCTAGACAAGTCGAAGGTGTCCCAGTTTTCTTCGAATATAAGTCCGTTGCAGGGAGGTACACCCATGTCACAAGATGCGTCGCAAGGATAAACAGAGCAAGTAGTGCTTACAGTTCCTCCATTGCCGCCACCGCTGCCACTTCCACCACCTGAATTACAACGACACACGATTACGTAAAGTTGTACCTAGTCAGCGAACAATATGGGCTATTTTGAGTTGATGCCCAATATACTCACGCCTAGTTATCTTTTGCATATTGGTTTTTGCGGCCGCAATCACAAAGCTTCTATCAGAAATTGTTCCTCCTGCTTACTCTTGATCGATTTTATTATAATGGCTAAAGTTTCATAGCCCCTCATTTTCAAAGAGTAATTATCATAGCATATGATAAATTTTTGTAAATATATATTATTGAATGAACTTTTTATAAAATGAAAAGTAAACAAATTTATTTTTTCGAATAAGATTCAGGACTGACTAGTTGGTTTAGTCGTAGTTTGTGGAGCATTAGTCACTTCATTATCTCCTGCTCCTTGTGTAGGCTGCTGGGTTGTGACAGGTTGCGGTTGCGTTGTCGTCGGCATTGTTGGTGCTAAAGAAAAATATCCACAGAAAAGTGTATAAATAAATGAGTTTTGCTGGTATAACGAAGCATTGTCTACAAGCCATACCTGTAAAGGTATAAGATTGGTCAGTCAACAAGTATCCTGCTCCATTGTTGATAACGTTTACCCAATAGGACACCGTGTCACCTTCACCTACTACAATACTTGTATCTCTGTAGACGAATGCTCCATCTGAAAAGTAGAAATATATTGTGTATTTCAGCAGCAAAAATATGCCAAAATAAAAAATAACTGCTTTCCCACTGTTTTCCTTTCTGTCAAAATTTAGATATCTAAAACTAAATCTTTTAATTAATCCTTAACTTATATATATATATGATCACAAGCAACTAACGCTACGAGAAAATTTATATATAGGTAGATAGATAACTTTTGAAAAATAAAGCGTTACAAAGGTTATATTTTCGTAAAAGTGTTCAAGCGGTTGCTACGAAATGTTTGGAATTGACCCATTTACGCTCATTAATGTAATGAGATCGCATTGGTTTTGGCAGCGTTTTGAATTGAGCGTTTTCTTTAGAAAACAATATAAAATAGATAGATTCAATCACTCAGTATCTATTAATTAGAGCAACTATACGATATTCAAACATTACGAGCTCTTTTCGGTTTCTGATCCATGATAATGATTGTAATGCAAGTTTTGTAAGTCATAATGCATCAATTGTCAACTTTTTATAAAGATGTTTTTCTGTCACTTGCGCACACATGCAGTACCATAAAAAATTAAGTGACGTTCGAAAATACAGTAGTAGGCTACTCACTGGTTGGCGAGTTAACATCAACGTTATATTGTCCTGCAGCTACACCGATCACATCACTGTTTATACTGAAGTGGTAAGCAACAAGAGTGGTTCCTTGATCAGCTGAGAAGAGTATAACGAAACAAGTGAAAAATTAAAATTTAATTGATAATTAAAATAATCAGCAATTTGTCATGACCGTTATGATCAATATTTATCACGATCGTTTTTTGGAATATTAATTCAATTGATTACCTGGATATGAAAATTGAATACCCTGTGGTTCAAGCAGCGTAATAGTTGGTTGTTGTACCACATAGGCACTACAAGCATAGATGAGGCCTAAAATCACAAGCAACGCCTTCATTTTTTAACCGGAAAATCTAACTGAATGACGTGTGCTATGTGCGATGACTTATATGTATTTCAACAGACCACAAGAGTTATTATTATACAATACAGCATGTGCATATTCCCAGGCTTATTACGTCAACGTTAAGTAATCTTGGATGACTTGCAACTTGTGTAATTGGTAATTTTTGAATAAATCACCTGATCAAACGTTCATTCATTTTCGTCTGCAAAAATAGCCTATTAATGTACTGAACTAAAGCCTATGTACAGTAAAAATGATCAGAATTACATGAAATGAAGTATTGGAAATATTTATTTGCAAGGATAGAATTAATTTATATTATTTTTGCCATAACCGATATGGTTCACGTTGCGCCTATGTGTCAGTTATTGGGATCAAATTAACAATTTACTGATGTTCAATACAGTCGAATCAATCCGATTCCTCCTGATTCCTTTTCGGGATAGCGGTTTGATTCGTATGCTTAAACCCCTTGCGGTTGTTTTTAAGTATTAAGATGAAGCAGAACAAAATCATCACTATGCGTACTTTTGTAATCTCGATAACTAGATTGACTGAATGACCTGCAAATTCGAAACCTAATTATGCATTATAAAAATGGATGAGCTGTCACAAGAATACAAAAATTTAGAAATTCCTCACAAGAAATGCAAGTTTTGCTTTTCTAAATGTGCAAAGTTCAATTCTGAATATATCTGACTGACCATGTATAGAAATGTTGTTAAGGTAAATTGTTTCATTTGTCTTCATTTCCTAATAAATTTTATTGTCTGTAATTAAAATGAAAAAAATTTACACAGGGATACAATACAATTAACTACAGAAAAATCAGGTATTTTCTCCGATGGTTGAAAAGTTCATGCTATCACACAACATGTGCTTTTCCCAAACTTCATTCCCAGACATTGTTTGAACACTTGTTTGTTGATAAACTTGGAGACTATCATTATGTAATGTAAACTGAATTTACAATAAATGGCGTAACAATTCTATATATATGAGAAATGCACCATACTACAGAAAGTGATTTTTATACGACGTGTAGTTTTCGGTGAGATGGATAGAATTCTTTTGAGATTTAAATCTATTACAGATTATCAATTTCATAGGTAATTTTTGACAAAATATCGTTTTCTAATTTGAAATAATTTAATATTGTCACAAATTAACTTCAGCATAAAATCAGAAAACATGCGCCTTTAGTCACCAAATTATCCATGTCGTTATTGGGATTTCTAACATTAACATCTGGCACTTGATGCAATCTAAGATTGACAAAAATGTTTTTATGTATTTTGGATTATTTTCTACAATATTTTCTTAAGTAGGCCTAGGGGAAATTATTGAAGAGGCTTCCTACCGAGGCTCAATATTTCATAATAACCTCGCGCAATTGATTCCTCAACTGTACTTGAATTTGTGCTTTGTTGCTACCATTTGTTAATTGTTATAACAATGAAGCGAATTAGTATCTTTGGTCTACCAGGTATCAGGCATGTGGATGTACCTATACATTAATAATCGTCACGCTAATAACCAAATTGCGCAAGTCGATTTTAGCAGGTTTGAGAAAAACGTAAAAAACTTCCTAATGATATTGTTAGGCCATTGAGAGTCAATAATTTGCTATGGTTCAAATTTTTAATTGTAGCCGGATTTAAGTTAATTTGTATGATGCAGTTATGTGACGTCATAATGGCGCACTGTGATTTAGGCAGAAATGTGTCTATGACTTGGGGACATACGCAATTTTGCAACTTGACTATATGCACCAGTCCTGAAAGCCAAACATTCCAAAAACGAATGTAATTCCCAGTATCTACAATGTCTAATCCCCAAAATAGGTAATCTGTTTCAATTACATTACTTTTTATGTTCAAAAATATATATTTCATCAATATAACACGCTCTGCACACCCACCGAAATAAGACTAAGATTGAATATAAAAAATAAAACAGCAATGCACCCAATATAAAAGCCAACCAAGTTGAATTGGACTCGGACAGTGAATATCACAAGTGCACGCCTTCCTATACTGTAGTAAAAATTCAAATTTATATGCGCTAAGCTAGAATCTGAGATGCAAAATCTTCAAAATACTTCGCAGAGGTTATTTCGCCTTTGTGACGTCAAAATAGTCCTGCGGTAACAATGATAATTCATTATGACGAAACAAATGTGCATGTCATACAAAATCTCCATTTTCTTGGGTTTCGGAATTCTGAAAATAAAATCTGAGTTAACAGACAAGTGCGCAGCATTACATAAATACCTATTTTATAAAAAAAAACTCAAAATCGCCAAAAATGACTTACGCAATTCGGTTATTAGCTTGACGTAATGCATTTATGTACTTTTTACATTATTTGAATATTACAGAAACCCCAATCTGCACAATAGTTATGCTAACAGCATCTAACCTTTTCCGAAGTATATTTCAGGAAGAAGTATTGAAGTCTCTGACCCCCTTCCTCTATTACCTCTAATTAAGTTGTCTCATTTCTAGAACCATCTTATCGTCACGCTCATAACTAAGTTGCGTAAGTCACTTTTTGGCAATTCCGAGTTTTTCATAAAAATAGGTATTCGTGTAATACTGCGCTCTTTTCTGTTCACTCAGATTTTATCTCAAGGATACCGAAACGCATAAAAATGGAATTCCCTATGCATTCAACAACTTTTGTTTTCGCATTTTTGCAGTATACGGGATACGACTTGAAAAGTACAGAATGTGTAGAGATTAAAAAACAGCCCGTTATGAAACAAGTGGTCTGTGTCTGTTTCAAGTTTTTCTGAATCCAGTTTTTTTATTCGAATAGCCACAAGGAACGAAAATATTTCCTTTAAAAGATTCGTTCGTGTTAATAAAGTAACATTTGCAAAACTTCAGGTTGAAACAAGTTAAAATTTGAGCGGAGCGGTAGCTAGGAATTTTTAGAGGCGGGGGTTCTGAAATCTCTAATTGCCAAATTAGACCGTAACAGCCAGCGGCTCCGGAAAACGTCAGGTCTTGATGTCTTGATGGTCTAAAAAGCATTTCAAGCCGCAAAAATTGCTATGTATGATACAGTAAAATGCCTTTTTTACATTTCAAATAGAAAAAAAAGGGGGGGGGGGTCCGACCACTGTAATTTAGCCATCACAGATATAGGTACAGTATTTATTTAGCACGTGACTATTCTGTCAATTGGACTTTTAGATATGCGGACCACTAACGTCTCGTATAGGATAGCTCTAGATGATATCACATCAACCAGACAAACAAATCATACGAGGTGTGGAATAGAGTTTGGACATGTCGTCTGTTTCGGTCGTAGATTATGAACCAGAGAAAAGATTTTCACCCTAGTTATCATATTTCGTTACCAGATTCTGACATACGCTACATCCATGCCCTTGCTATTCAAAATAAAACCGGTGGAAAAATTGACAGTTAATGTTTTTGATTGACTTGTCTAATTCTCAAATCGTTCGATAGCAATGGTCACATGCCATTATATATGCTACCAAGAATATGCATATACCGCCAAGTCATATGCATATATAGCCAACTCATTATCCAAATACAGCTATTAAGAGGATGTACAAATACTGCCAGATCATTTCATATGAATACAATTTGTGTATATGCAGGTGCATCTACGAATTATATGCACATTACGGGTCGTTCATATATAATTAGCGCATTAAAAAGCGTTAATACTCTAAAGGGATCGATACGGTGTTAGCATGCAGGGGTAGGGCATCACTTACATGTTGATTACGCACAAAAAGACGTAAAACTACCAGTGTTCGTAGTACATGATAAATATACAATCGGTACCAATCTATAATATCGAAATACCCCATAACAGCTGGTCGTTGATAACACAAAGAATGTGCTGGCTAAAAATGAGTCTTCAGGGAACCATTCTTTGGCTACTGGCAATAAACTGTCCAAAAAATAATCAAATTAACGCTTGGTGGAAAATATAAAACATAAAACTGCAGGTAGTTCTTGATCAATGTCCAATAGGCGCCAATCTATGATGCCGTAATACCCCCCAACAGCTGAACGTTGATAATACGAGAAATGTGCTGGCTAAAAATCTCTTTTTAGAGAACTATATTTTGGCTATTGGCAATAAACTGTCCACAAAATAAATAAAATTAACGCTTGGTGGATAATATAAAAAACACAATATGCCGGGGAGCGTAGTTCTTGATAAATGTCCAATGATCGCCAATCTATGATGTCATAATACATATTGTATATATATGCATGGCATGGCGCAGTGGTATGACTGGTACAGAATACACTTATTTGAGGCGTGAGGGTGTTGAAACAAAGTATCTAGAAGCAAGGACACTAAATAACACTTATTTATTCAAACTCACGATCGACGGCAAATACAAAATTATCAAGCACACGAAAATAGAAAAATGTCTACAATCTAGATCTTAAAAAGATCATCAATTTCTTTATGCAATACACGAATCAACAAGAATTATTATGTTTTCGATGTATAATCAATATTATTCCAAATTTGGTAGAACTATCCTCACAGCCGATATCAACGTAGCCTGGATTGTAGGTGCTGCAGAAGAAAGCACACCGCACTCGTGCGTACACAAGTGTGTTGGTTTTTTTGGTATTTAGTTCAAAATCACTTATTTGAATGTTTCAGAGAACTAAGAATCAAAGATAATGATGAAACCGTTGGTGTTCGGAACCATAACATTCCTTTAAAGTACTATCCACTTCTCGATGCACAAATTATAGAAAAAATGTGCCTGTATTTAAAAAACAAAAACGTATACCATAGTTGACCAGACATCGTACATTCATAACGATATATGCTACGAAGTATATTCTAGTCGAAGCAAAATGCTTTTATTGTGATTCAGATTTACAAAAACCGATTTTGATCTCTAAACATGCACAAATATTACCAGTGACTGAACTTCTTGGTGGTATATCAACTTGTTATAAAAAAATGTCCGAATGTGACTTGAATTTGCTATTTTATCAAAGAATTCCTCATGTAGCATTTGTCCATCGGAAGTTTTGTTAACGCTCTTTCTTCGCGAATCGGAACTGATTTGAATTCTCAGAAATTTGTGAATGCTTTTTTTGCATTCCGATAGCCTGAACACTGACCACTTCTAATTGTTCCAATGTGGTATTTGTAGATATCATCTCACATTAGTAATCATGGATCTTAACAAAATAAGTGAATTTTTAAAATTCAGCCATGTCTTTATCTGTGCTCAATCACTACGACGAAAACAAGGCCGACACTGTCAAGCAATTGTCCAAGTTTTTGGGAAATGTGGAGATGAATATTCTTATTCGAGGATTTTATCCGAGAAATATACCAAGTATTCAAATTACTCCTAATTTGTTTGAATGGGCACCATTAATTGGAAAACACACTAGAACAGGGGTGGAAATATTGCATACAGAACATCGGAAGGTTTCAAAGAAAAATGGCTTACTGGACAACGATTGCAAGGACTTAATGGTAGAAAGATTTATAGAAATTGTACATAGCTACTCGTCAAAAGACCTATTCAAATTCGGTAAACATCTTCGTGAAAATGTCCCAAAAGGCGGTAAGCTGGACATATTTTTATCCACAAGAGATCGAATTGCCAAAGACCACGAAGACATTAAATCCTTATCCAGGTTTTAGGGCTGTTCTGGTGGTTGGGTTTCCTGTACTTCATGGAGTCGTTTATGCTGTTCAATTTTTATGCGCGCTGAAAGCTCTCGCGACTTTGTTGATATACTTTTGTCGTTCAAATATCAATTGAATATCGTTATAATTGACATGGCAAATATGGTCGTTGCGCATAGTAACAAACGAAAAGTCTCTATGTTTTCACCACACAATGGAATGCTTTGTGAGCCAACTCAATAAAACATAAAAACTGCCGAACTGCACGTCTTTCCATCTCAATGCCTTGGATTTTGGAAACAAGTGTACAAAAAAAAAGAATATACCAAAGGCGTGCACCCTGTTAGTGATAAATCGCTTCATATGTGTATATATGACAGATTGCACGAAAAAATGTAACTAACAAGAAAAAAGTATTACGTAGAATACCATTTGTCCCGGAACTAGAGGAATGGTTTCTCCAATACACAAGTTATGGAACAATTAAATGCGATATTTATTAGGGATAATAGATTTTTAAATCAAAGAGAGCCCGTTAATCATTTATTTATTTTTTTCGTTCGATAATTGATTATCATTTGATGAATATGAATTTGGCCAAGAGCTTGGAAAACACAGCAAGAAAAATATGTGCTAATGATTTGGTTTCTGCGAGACTAACTACTTATCCTTCTTCTAGTTGAACTCTGTATGTCTGAAGAAGTCTGACCTTGGTCAGACGAAACGTTACAGAAATATATTTGTGTTAGTGTGCAGCAAGACTCTTGAATCACTTAAGATTAATATACATGTGGATAGTCTGGGTAGATGGTATCTCCAGACTGTTGATACACATGAAAGCGGACAAACGGAATCGAAAATTAAAAAAAAGATGACGCGTGCCCATTTAGAAATGATTACATTACATCAACTCAAGCTGGAATTAAGCAAGAATTGCAAAGTGACGAAACAAAAAAAAATATTTCAAAATATATGTAGATTGAATAACGCAAATTTTACACAATCTATATGGATACCACAATGGAGAGTTTTTCGTTGCAACGAGATAAAAATGACCTATTCAACGACGTTTATTTGAATGTTGTCGTAGGAAAACAACTTCCAGGGGAGACGACAAATAATGTATTCGACCGTGTCTACAGTCAAAAAAAAATCTTGAAGTTGAAAACAACACAAAAATGTACTCAACTGACCTGGACAGCCTTTTGGGGGAAACTAGTAAAAAAAAAAAACTGAAAAACAATTATTAGATTTCCCCAATATTAACGGATTTGACCGTACAACCTAGATAAACCCTCAGAGGATTCTCTACTGGACAAAATCCATTTCTCAGTAACCATTAGTTGAATGTTGAATGTCTTCATTTGGATTTGATTGGCCAACAAATTAAACGGGATAATTTATTTTAAAATGGTAGAATTATAAATGCAGCAATGGTGTTAATGAAAATAAAATATCGTCACTTATCCGGACTGAAGGATATGATAATATAGACAGTGGGAAGATACCCGATAAAATTCTGTAATGCCTTTGTTCAAATAATAAACATCGGAAAAGAATCACTTTACTCAGCACTAGTGGCTGACACTGTACGCTTCGTTACAAACAAACAACATGTAGCGACTTGTCACTAGTGACTGAATGATGCTGATATCACAATAATCTATTACATATATTTCACACCTATTGTAGGTAACTTCTATCAAAAGCCGTTTTAGAGTTTTTGAGAGTTATTTTTGAAACCCTAACCTTAACGCACTCATTAATTATATCAATATGACTTCCAAGCTTGCGACATGTAGATACAACCTCATCGGTACTTATATACAGTATAACTATAAGTGCACATCATTTGAATGGCTGTATATGTAAATTGAGTTGATTATAAGACATTGGTTGTATATGTATATTAAATTGGTAGTATATGCATAGGACATCGTATGACACCGCTTAAATGCCTTCATAAGTACATATAGTTGATTATAGATACATATGACATTGACTGATTGTGTGCATTATTTGAGTGGCTGTATAAGTATATTGCGTACTCCATATGAACCGATTGCATTGGCTGTGTATGTACATTACTCAACTGGCCGTATATGTATATTAATTTGGCTGTATATGCATGTGATATTAACTTTTGTATGTGCATCACTTCCACATGTCTCTATGTGTATATTGAGTGACTATACCTACATTTGGATTTGATTGTGTACATTACTTGAATGGCCGTATATTTATATATGTCTAATTGGCTGTATAAGCACATGACATTGGCTGTATATGCACTTTTAGTTTGCGTTATATTTATTTTAGTTGGCGCTATATGTATATTTTTGGTTGTATTTGCCATTTTCAAATAAAAAAAAATCAAGAACATCTTGTCGCGAGGCACACACGAAAATATTGCCATTCTATTTGAGTTACAAGAAGTCATTATTTAAAAAATACGCTCAAATATATATACATTAAAATGTAATGAGTGCACGCTAGACTTTTCTATTCTGTATACACGTACAACGAGCAGTAGCCTTCTTTGCTTTCCTGGCGAACATAGGACAGTCGTTTCATTCATTCAGCCGGGCCTAGTTAAATAAAAAAAAATACGATGCATTATAAACTGATGGAAATATTTTATGAATTTTTAATAAGCGTAATCTTTCTTTTGAATGGTATTTTGTCTGGTGAACTGTCGAACGCTGTATCCCAGACAAACCAACCAGTAAATCCCTCATTAGTCCTTGAGTAACGCCAATTTTTGCTCTTTGTAGTTTCTGTGCGGGGCCCCCAAAGTATGTGTACCAAGATGGCGCACAACCTGAACATAGTATGTGTACCAGGTTAGGGTTCAGGTTGTGCGCCATCTTGGTACACATACCTCCGGAGCGCCCTCTGTGCTGCAGTTGCTAGGGTACCAGTCTGTCGGTGATTGCCCCTAGTGATAACTGGAATTATTGAGTCTTTTAAACGTATTCATAAGTCAAATTTTCGGTATTATATTATATATATGTTGTTTCCGGCTTTTGCCTAAGTATAGTTTTAAGTTAGACGTTTGTATATGCTCAATAATCAGTAGGGTGGATCTTATTTGAAGTCATTGGGAGTGATCTCAGTATTAATCTCGAAATGTGATCGTATATTCTAATCGTATTGTTACGACGTCGCCCTTAATGACAACTCAATGTTGATATACGCTACTATTGTTTATGTGTTTAAATTGAAGAATATGATCTGTATAGAAATTTTTCGATTGGAATCATGTAGCAGGGGCTTGTAGTATTTTCAATGTCGAATACAATTTTCACATGTTTTTGCCTTCTACAGCCTCGTGGTTTCATAATCATTTTATTTGATTTGAGTAGCCTACATAACGTTATAAGAGCAATATTGGTTGGCCATCGTACCCAAATATAAACGTATATGTAATCACACATTCGAAACGACTGGTTGTGTTGCCCTATATTATATATGCTCATCTAAGTAAACATTTACTAGATATACATTAACTATACTCTTGTTTACGGATCCATTCGTTTTCGTATGTAATTCACAAAACTGATTATGTAGGTTTTTGCTATGTATCTTCCATACATGGAACATGAGTACAAAACCCGCTGTATGGCAATACTTTGCCAAAGCAACTATAAAACATTGCCATGACATCATATGGTGGTTTCGAATACCAAATTTTCATTTTTACATATTCAGTAAGTTTTTAACAGCATTAAACAACGCGTCACCACCAGAACGGTCATAAGATCTATCTTCCGAAATTGTCTGGGTATAACATCAGCAGTAGTTTTTTGGTAGTGGATTTAGTTCAACACCGATCAACGACTTAAGCTTAATGGGAAATAATTCAACCACGCCACAAGACATTTGTCGACCAATTCCCCCATCGTCAGATGTATTTTCTTCAGGTATGAATATTTTTATGAGTGTCATGTACAGTAAAAATGTAAAGAATTAGATAATAAATTTATTTAATAAAATTCAATTGAAATAAAAATGTGTAATTGTCTTTCATGCATGGTTGGATAGAATTCGTGTTAACTTGGACTTTTTATCCCGACCATATTCATTTTCGTTCGATTTTGCGAGTCTGGCTAACAGGAATTGATACAACAATACTAATACATAATAATTCTCAAAGAACTGCATTAGAAAAGTAAAATTAGAAAAATTGAAATCTGGACGTTGGTATAAAATAAAACGGTCATAATTAGTCTCTTCGTTTTAACACGCAACCCAATATAAAAAAGAACCCGTTTACCTTGCCAAAATATCGATAATGTACATAATCTCTTGGAGGCATGAAAATTTTTTTATTTGTTGTTTATACTCTACACTACAGTATACATATTTATAGAGTATTGTGTGTTCGCGGTGCTTTATTAGTAACATAAGGTGTCACAGCTTCGGTAATCCAGGCCTTGCTTTTCAAAAGTAACATCCCTAAATTACGTATCATCTAATCTCTTTTACATAAACAACGACTATCATGAGTATAATACCTTGCCCAGTTGACACGTTTGTCGTAATATTCGCTGTTAAACTAACTGTTGTTTGAATATTTAAAAATATATGTATTCCAGACATAGTGAACGCGTGGGGAGCTGGTGGAGTCATCGTCCTTCTAATACCAGGAATATTGGCATTGATCTCTATTGGAATATATGCAGAAGAAATATACTATGTCATGCTCAAATCGAATTCAAAGCCGCTGCGTAATGCACTTCTGTGGATTCTAAGCACGTTTCCGGTGTGATATTTTTACTTTAAAAATCCTCGACTGTAGATAACGAAGTATGTAACGAAGTGTGCTTTCCTCGTATGGTTGAATTCTTTCAATCGTGATTACATATATCAATTACATAAATTATCCACACAAAGTGAGAGTGAAAAAGAATATTTCCTATTTGAGATACGCTTCTAAATTATTATTTTAGACATGTCTTTAAAATGGTATATTGGTATATGAAAAAAATTTAAACATGTGATAATAAAGAATTATCGTGTCCTCGCCACATCGTGTCAGTCTTATTATGCACAAAACGGTAGATAATACATGAGCCTATAAACCAGTGTTTCCTAACCTATTTCGATAAATTACTCCCTTCGCTTGTTTTGTAACACTTTGCTCCCCCCTCACTATGCAAGCTATTCTATTTGTTCAATCCTAGGATCCTCAGCTATAGTTATGCCCTTATCTCACTCCCGCTCTTGTACAGTTAAAAGAGTTTATAATAGGTATTTTAGTAATAATAAAGAACTAAATAATAATTGTAACACTACATCAAATACAAAATTCCTCCGCAACAAGGACAAAATTTTTCCCTGTGGAAGGATCCCTCCCCTGTTTGGAAACGTGGCTTTAAACAATCAAATTTCATCAGAAAAACTTTTTCATTTTAAATTAAAGTTAGTTATATTTATAAAAATTTTCTTTTCGAATGAGGCATAATACTTTTGGCTATTTCTGAATTCGAATTGTAATGGTTTTGCAGGTTCCATATATTATGGTTATTTAACCAAATTTACCACGTTACCACGTTTGGTTATTTAACCAAATTTGAAAAAAAGTTTTAGAATTCATAATATCACAAATTAATTTTATATAAATTTTATACCAGGCAATCATGACTATTGCACTTATTGGTATGTTCGTTCCTCGAGCGGTCGTGGAAGTTGGTTTCATGTACAACATATATGTAGCCTACGCAATATACAAATATTACTATTTGATCATTGTGTTTGCTGGAGGAACGAAGCCGTTTGTAGAAAAAAGTTGCGTAAAAGAAATAGGAATGAATGCGGTTCCCTGTCCATGTTTGGTGTGCTTGCCACCGATCAGAAACTCTGTGTAAGTATATACTAATTGACAGCATATATATTTACTTCTCAGACCTGGCTCTATGAATTAAAATAAATCATTTAATATCTTTATGACATTTCTTCAGAGCTCGCCAGAGTTAGTTTCATATTTAGGCTAATATAAGGCACTTCACTTAAATAAATTAACTTTATAAAATATATAAAGTAAATAAATATTGATATTTGGAATCAAGTCATTTTTATATTGTTTCTACACAGGCGTGTCATAGAAATAGTAAAATGGCTAATTCTTCAATACGTTGTTATTACACCTCTTTGTGGCGCGATTGCTGTCATACTTAGGGCGGATGGAAAATATTACAAAGTCAACGTAAGTTTGCGAGATAAGTATGCTCTTCAAAACTATATCAAAATTTTCATTTGAATAATGTCTTTACCTTAACACTTTTCAAATGTACCACGTAAACGAACAATCACCCCTATACAAACGACATCTTGTTGTGATTTGAAATGTAACTCATTTTTCCGAATGGCCTCAAATTTGCCTGCTAAATGCTGATGATGAAAACGTATGTACGTGCAGATTTTTTCCATGTTATCATAATATTCTACTCAAGAGAAAGTCGAAATAGACAGTAGCTTAGAAGCCCAGAAAATAAAATAATATTAAAATTAATTTTTTTTATTGCAGGAAGTAAGCCCTTCAGTTTATTTATCTTTATTCAGTGCAATTTCAACATTAATTTGTATTTATGGAATCAAGTTATTATTCAAATTCACAGTCGTAATTGAAGGTAAGTGCATATGCCTGATGTACTTCATATGTCAAAATTTTATTGATTAGTGGGAACTATGTTGCAGATAGACTCAGATCAGATGTTTTTAGATACATAATTGATTTGCAAAATCATCTTTAATTTTATTAATGCATAATACGCTAGAAAAGCAGAAAATTTGAAGATTGGACGAGATCACTAACAAAATTCGTGCTTACTGATTTCTATTTCGATACTTTTTTATTTCTTTTAGGTTCTAGTTCAGGGGTTCCCAAACTTTTTAGAGTTGGGACCCATTATTTTTTACCACAGCTTATGGCGACCCATTCAACTTTAATAAATTAATAAAACATTGATGGAGGAAACAAATTTATTTTTTCAAATTGAATTTTCAGTGAAGCTAGTCAGAAAGATGAGCTTGTTTCTTGCTATTTTCCATAATAGACATTTTTTCAATTTCAGATAGTTTTTGACGTAAAAAATTGAAAAGTTGCAGTTTATTTCGAAATTTGCTTTGAATTTGCTTTGCCACCGATCCTAATACCCAGTATAATTAATTAAAGCTTACTAGATCTTTTCACGACCTATTGAGATTCCTCTTGCGACCCACCAGTGGGTCGCGACCCATTGTTTGGAAACCGCCTTCCTAGTTTGTTTTAGGTTGATAGATGTTTCCCCGATCATCATTGTCTTGTTTATTTCCGTAACAATTACAAATCAGCAATAAAGTAACAATGACGTAACAATTGGAATTTATGCCGCCGCTCAGACACTTTTTTTCGCTCAGACAGATATTCAAGCGGGTTGCAAACATTGTCCCTTTTTGGTAGTTTTGCGTGTTATATTCAGTTTTTGATTGTGTTTGAAGAAAAATGATAGTTTGAACATGTGAGCCAGTTGATAAGCGCCAAATCTCCAAAACACTCACAAAATCAGCACTGAAAATTTTGCAATGATAAAGTATAGGGTGAATCTTTCAGGGGTGAAAGAAACATTCATACCTATAAGGTTCTATTTGATTTCTATTTTTTAAACCCACATTATGGAAGAAGGCAGGAAACAGTTTTCAAACTTTGAGCGGAAAGTGAATATTTTTTTCAAAAGTGAAAATCCGACTAGGGAACAAATTGTCTAGCTGTGTTACCGAGTTTCACTTTCCTGGTTTTCTATCGATCACCCTGTTTTTTTCAGGAATGGAAGACACTCACGCGATACGAGGCAAAACAGCGTGCATACAATTGACAAGTTTTATCGTTGGTTTCGAAGCTTTGATCTTCAATATAATAGCTCAAGTAGGCTGGATTCCTTGCGTATATCCATTGAATTTTCTCAGCAATCGGAGAGGTGGTTAAAGATTTAATTTAATTTATCTACACAGCACAGAAAGGCGTGTCCAACAGAGTTGTTTTTATTAGTGTTTATTATAATCAATTAATCGAATTTAATATTACACCAAGTTTGGATATTTTTATATCGAATAACGCTACTTATGTAGTCATTCTTTTGAAGGCCACATTTTGAAGCCAAAAATATTTTACAACCAACTCTTGTTCACTCTGAATACGCTTGATTAAGTTTTTATACTGTTAAACCAGTTTCACTTGAAAATTGATTAGTGTGATTTGGATAAATATTTTCTTTCACCACTCATTATTCACTTTCAAAATTTTACCATCGTCTTTAAAAACAATTTACTTAATATTTGTCGCAGTCATCTACAATTACTTCGTCATACCTCAAATATTTTTTGTCGGGTTCCTTGGACGTCATTACTACAGGTCAGCAATTCTCCTACGTAAATCTACAAAATCTTTTTTTTATTTCAAAACCTTATCTTAGTCTATTTGTTTGTGGTGCGAATTGGGAGTTCTTTCTTCTTCCTTGTGGTATTCTTCATACAATCTATTCTTCTAGAAAGATATATACCGCTAGTTGTGAAAATTTATTCCCGATATGCCAACGGAATCAAAATCATGAAAAAAATTACAGGATCATCAATATATTAACCTATTATAACTAAGGCGCTTCCTATGTAGCCTAGTTTGTGAACAGTTTCAAACAGTGCTATTCAATACAAAAAATTATCCGGGTATGAGCTAATTGTCGCAACATTCAATATTGAAACTTATTAATTTCCTGAAAATCACATATAAATAAACTCTTCAATTCAAATTATTATCCAAGCTAATATTTTTTATCCATATCATAGACGGTCAAAGGACATTCAACGACAAGTCGTGTTGCATGATGACCTCACCATTGCGGTGGATTATTCCGGTAGATCCTGCCTAGTGGCCGACGCAACACTGCAATCAGCGAGAGAGCATGATGGTATTATTGTGGAACAAAGGCAATCGTACCATGGAACTGACAATATACCCTCCTTGGACAAACATTCTCCGGGGGCAGAATTTTCCAATTTTGAAACGAAGAGCCGAACATCTAGTTATAGTTTAGGAAAGCACTCCATGCCCATGGGTCTAGAAAATCCTCATACAAGTAGTATTGTCCACGGCGAACAAGACATATCCAGTCAAGTATAACTGAGAAAAAAGAATTATATATATATACTGTTCATATATGTGTGTGGTTTCTTTTTTTTCAACTTGTAATGAACGTCAATTAGTATGAATGAAGAATGCTAAATATACCAATTGTGAATGACAAGATCTTGTCATTCTTAGGCTACTAGAATTAAAGAAATATTACAGTGCTTCTTTTATAAACTGGACATGGCTAAGAAATGACTAGACCAAATAATGAAGAAAATTTTCATTCGTATCTTATTAACTGATCAAACTGTAAACGAGAATATCGGTCGGAGACCGAAGACTTGTCGATCGAAACTGCGGTTTCGATTCATTCCTTATAGTGACACCGCGTGTCCCATCACTAATTAATTAATAACTCGCTAATTATAAGACATAATTTATCCAAAATCGATAAGCTTCTGGTCCGAGATATGATGAATGCACATGCAAAATTCGGAGCAGATTCAACCTCGCTTTCGTGAGATATCGCGTGCATTTAACAGACAAATACCTATCAACATACTTACCAATTAAGATAGATAAGTAACAATCTGATACATGAGTGCATATGACAAGATATAGCAGTCCTTTCCACCAAAACATATTATGCCTCGTCTTGATCTAAAAATATCGTGAGAACTGAAAGTTTCGCATGCACTTTATATAGTTGTCATCGTTTGAAGAATCGTTACAAACCTCTCTGGTTCTCTGTGATTTATGTGCAGGTTGTCGTGCTTTTCAAGATACCAACGAATTCGGTTTGTTGTTACTTTTCTCGATGACTTTGCATATATATGCTATAACTTTATGAAATCAGACGATTAGAGCTATCTATTTTCGAGTTCCACCTTATATTTATAATGGGTATTGCAGCGGAATATTTCCACCTGGCAAGCAGTTTTGTACATGCCCAACAATGTATATGGTATATCGTTGATAGCAAACCGTGTCATACTCATAGCCAGAAGGCAGTTATGCTGTTGTTTGATAATTCTTGGCTTCCTATCGGTATCCAAACTGCAAACTCTTCCTCATTGACACAATTTGCGTCGCTGTGATCATCTTACAGATAATATAACATATATATATATATAAATATATACAGTATATAGCCTATGCCATATACTATGTTCTTCTGAACTTTCCTAATTTATCAATTCGAAAAAAATTTTAGTCGTCAAACTCGGTTAGCTGTGAGCTCTCACCCATACTATATTGTTGATGAATAATGAATAAACACGCTACAAAACGTATGCCGTCTTTTTTGTCTTCCTGTGATGTCTGAATGCCCCCAATGTAGCCAAACAAATTATCTAAACGCCGAAACTATTTGAGTTTTAAGGCCAACCAACTATACATTAGAACTATCAGTTTGTTTACACGGTGTGGCTCCCTCATTGGTGTATTTAGAGTTTAAACTATATGCCAGTGGTTCTTAAAGTATGGGTCGCGACCCAAACATGGGTCGCCGAAGGTTTAAAAATGGGTCGCGACAAGGTCGTCAATGCAAGGGCAATCTAAGAGGAGAAGGACGAATTTTCAGCTTTCCCAATGTTTCAATTTAGCTTCTAAACTCTGGTATTTAAAAATAATGAAATATAAAATTTCATTCACGGAAAGAACTGTCTTGAGCTCATTGTTACATCACAATTCTGATATGCCAGTCACGTGTATTATTTTTATGGTATCGATAACCATGCACGTCGCTTGTCGTTGTGTTGACCGCATGGAATGTCGTCTTAGTGGATTAAAATAACCAAAAATGGGTGTCTTTTTGGTAATGAAAATTGTAATAGACGACGCAATGAAAAAGCTCGCTTCTCGACATTAGATTATTCAATATCTAGAGAAAATGTGACTTCATCTCGAGGCACCATTTACCGCGAACGAAGCAGTGCGTGCACAAGTGACGAGTAAAAAGTTGTAACCGAAGGCCAGCTAGGATGTCGTGTTTGCGAGGGACAGCGGACGCCTTTTCTGCTACAATTCGCGACAAGGCACTTGTGCGAGCGAGGATATTTGGCACTGACGGTTATCAAAACTAAGCTCGCAATCGCTTCGATACCCGTGACAACTTGCGTATTGCGTTAAGTAAAATAGAGCTGTGTATTGAAGATATAATGGAAAAGGAAATTTCAGTTTCATCAATCTCACTGAGTCAATGGACTGTTTCTAATAAATAGTTGTCTGTATTTGAGTCAAACTGTACTAACATTAAAAACACATTTTGCATTTTTTAGGATTGGGTCGCGAGTATTCATAAAACTCAGATTTGGGTCGCGCTTGAAAAAGTTTAAGAACCACTGCTATATGCAATACCCGAGAAGGCTATTCCGTACTTAGGCCGATTTTCACTGAGGCGTACTCGGAATTTCTTTGAGTGGGAGAATTCGATATTTGGGGATTTTCTACCTAATAAACATGAGGGCAACCTCAAATATATAGACACGATGACCAAAACGAGTTAACGTCAAAAAACTCCCGACTTCGCTGAGTACCAGATTGATGATATGCAATCGTGGGCTAAATGCGGCCCGCGAACAAATTTTTGGATCCCACGTGTTAACAAGTGCGACTGTACGGCGCTTGTTTTGCAGTAAGTAGCGTCAGTTGTCAGCTGTATTAGTATTCATTTACGGTTGTATGTCGTTCAGCCCAGTAGTTCCCAACCGCCGGTGCCGGTCCGCGAGAAATTTAGTTGTTTTTATGCCGTCTCAATCGCTTCACCGAAGACGAGGTGGCGTTGGTTTAGTACGCATTTTCTCTTCCGCCGTTATATTGCGACGTCTTTCGCGACATCGTGGCGCCGAGACATTTTCGCTTTTTCGGCTCCGATTCATCGCGAATGCGCTCCATCAAATCTCGCAAGATTCCGAGACCTAAAAATCGGCACGCGTGCTTTTTCTGTTCTGCGTGCTTTTCCTGATTAATATGAGCATCCATATAAAACATTATGCATATTTCTTTGTTCAAACCAGATAACAGTCAAGGACAGTATAATATTCCAGTAAGATATGAATCTGTTGCGACCCTGCAGGTGTTCACGAGACGCATAAAAGAGCATGGGCCGCAGAGATCTTTCCCAGCATTTTGAGCAGACACAGTGGGATTTTGAGGCTGGTGCCAAGTTACCAACGACTTTGTCATTGTAATGTAAATTCAATTCATTGGAGGCGTCGATCAACTGCAGAGGGATTAATATGATGAACCCGATGATAAAGAAAACGCTTGATTGAAATTTATTTCTACTTTACAGTCCAGATTTAAAAAAGAATCACTGTCACAATGTTGGATATCTCTTGATAACGAATACCCATCGCTAAGTAATCGAGCAGTCAAACTGTTGTACGTATTTTCAACCAGTTACTGCGCTATGCAAAAAAAAACATTTTTATCACTAACTTAAATTAAAACTAAGTAAAGAAATCGGCTGCACGCCGCTGCAGAGCTATGTGTTGCAGAAACTTATTTGAGGCTTCGTTTGCAATCCTGTACTGGAAACGAAACAGCAGCAAAATTCTCACTAATTTGTTTGAGTTAATTGTGTTTGTACATGATTTGGCATGTACATGTTTTTATGTGAGATATTTTATGCGGGCCTTTCTTACGCATAATGGGTGCCCAGCACTGCATTTCATTACGCAAATATATGGTATTATTTTATGTTTCACCCATTTCAATTTTTGACTGCACATTATTTGATAGTTTTTCTTCGTTTGGAATTTTTTTAAGTGTGAATTTTTTTGTCTGGAAGCATATTGAGTTCCGGACATTGCATTATATTACGCAAATATATAGTATTCTTTTCTGTTCCGGTCATTTCGATTTTTTGCCGGTCCGCGAGTACATTTAATTTAATTTTACCGGTCCGCCAGGGTAGAAAGGTTGGGAACCACTGGTTTAGCCTACTTGATGAACGTCTCATCGTTGGTTGTATATACGTTGGGTTTATTTTGATTTTCAAATTTCAAAAATGTTCAAATGTCTTGATCGCAGTTATTAAGGGATTTGATGTTAAACGTCATTACGAATCGTGTCATTGCTCATTGCAAATACGAAATTCGACCCCGAGACGAGGGGCTGCGCCACTGCTCATCTGTGCGAAAGAGCAATACGTGTAATGTGCACGTTCGGAAGCACATATTGCTGTGAGTAGTTTTATAAAATTAAACTAAGAATAAACTAAATTAATGTGGCCCGCACACTACCGTAAATATGTCTATTTGGCCCGCAAGTACATAAAGTTTGCCGATTACTGCCGTAAACCAGTGGTTCTCAAACTTTTTTGTATTGTGACGCCCTCTAAAAAAGATACCCAAGTTGCGACTCCCCTTGAAAAACGTCTTCAACGTAAGACTTTTTTTGCAATGTGATTTAGTTAAACGAGCAAACAAAACATAACGAAAGTCAGTGAAATCGCATTTAATGGGATGGGTGTACTTGCTTTTTTTTTACAAATGTCATTGAACATTGATTTGTGAAATGCAATTCCGCAAAAGAAGCAAAGTTTTGTGATGCCCTAGCAAAATTGAAACGGCGCACTTGGGCGTCGCGACGCCCACTTTGAGAACCACGGCCGTAAACGATCAAAGATCAAACCCAAACTCATTGCTGTATATATGGGCTTTGATTGCTCAAACCGTAGTGTGCCACCTCGTGTCCGGGAAATCTGTAAAGTGTAAACAATACAATACAACGGTCGATCTGCAGAACTCCCCGATGAATGGATGATCGGTACAGAAGTAATTCGGTAATCATACCAGAGCCATTATATAACTAGTCTGGAAGGCCGTATACTGACCTGCAACCCCGTGCAACTAACTTGTTCCATTATGGCGTCATATGGACGCCATTTTCGATCATTCGGGTCGAGTAGTGTAACGCAAACAAGCCTAATTTTAGTAGTTTTAAATAGTTATTGGGGAAGATTTAAATGAGTAGTTATATTCCGAAAGCGCAGAAATCCGATAAGGCGTCCCGTCCCAGTCAGTATCGAACCCAATATGAGGCACTTACATTAACAACCCACGCCGCTCGGTGACAAACAAAATATAGACGCAACACACGGTTAGTAAAGTAAAGTTCATTTCGATTTTTCCGTAACACTAAAACAAATGGGCAATGCAAGTCGACACACCCACACACATATAGCCTACGGAAAAATGGGAAAATCTAAAATTATTCCAGACTAGGGCTATCGGCCGTCCCCGGAATGGCCGGGACAGTTCCGGAATTGACGTCTGGCGCCCCGGGCCACGTTTGTCCCGGAATTTACTGACAACCAGGGCGTTCTGAAATAGCTTGGGCTATTTTTGGCTTCTGTCACATTCGAAATACCCTATTTCGCCATTTGGGGTCCCATGTTTGGGGTGTTTCAACCACAACAGCAGGCCTAAATGACTAAAACGAACTGAATTTTTGACAGTAAAGACGACGTCAAATGAGATATTACAACTGTCCTATAGCCAAATGTTGTTGGCAATGTTACATTAGAAATTTGCCCTTTCCAGACGCTGTTTAGTAAGATTACGGTCAAATTCCCCAAAGAACATTCTACTGTTCTATGTCAGCTGTGAAATACTGGGCTCGGCGTGTGGCGCATCGTGCTAATCGTTGGGAATACGCTCGCCACCTCATCTCTGATTACCCTTCTCGGGATCGCAGGTTCGAATCCCATGCGGGGATGATCATGTGCGAGAGGATTGCTGGACTCCTCGCCGCCGTAGGGTGGTTCACGCAACCGCTGGTCGGTTACGGCTTCCTCCACCATCAAGTCATTGCTTCCGAATACAAATAACTGGCTAACTAATCCCATACCTGACCTGGTAACCGGACGAGAGGCCGTGGTTCGCCATATGATTAAGCCGTCTTATCGGCTTTTCTCTCCCCCGGGATAAACATGTAAATCCTATCCTATCGCTGCATAATTGAATTGTAAACGTCCTTACCAATGGCGGTACAACGAAAGAGAGATTTTATTACTTTGTCAACCAAAAAATACACTCATCAATAAAATAGCTACAGCAAATCAAATTGTTTTGGTAGAGATGACCAGTGGCAAAAACAATTACGATAATATTCTAACAATAAATTTCTGAACAAAATGGGGGGATTCTTAGATAAAAGCGATGTTAAGCATGTGTGTGTTTTAAAAAAAAAAGGGGGAGTATGTGTACCAGGTTAAAGCTAGGCCCAATTTTTATTCCAACTTTCCTTATCTTAGTTCCATTACAAGGTCGTGTGACTGCCCATGTCAGCCAAGCGATGGTGACTACATATGAGTGCTTATTCGTGAAATTGACTTTAACAAATAATCTGTGTTTTTATGTTCAATTTCAAGTTGCTAAAAAGTTATTTATAATAGGTTTGTAATAATTTGGATAAATAAAAACACAAAAAATAGCACACCTGTGTTACAATGAAAGTTTCATGTTGTTTTATATACCCCAAAAAACAATTTGGGTGAAATACTCCCCCCAATATTCAAAAAATCAAAATCCAAATTTTCTTATGTGGTTGCGTGCTGTTTTCAGAAAATAATAATCAGAAGCCAGTAACAAAATGTGTGTTACACAGTGTAATGTGGTTCTGGATACATGCAACAGTCCACTCACTGTGCGCAAAGTAGTAACCATCGAAGCGCGTCCTCTACAGTCTTCAATACATCATATGCATAAACAGTAGCCATAGTACTTCTGAAGTCAATCTTGAGGCTTAAGCAGCAGTCTCACACTCTTGTGCTGTATATGACCCAACATTATAGGCTTCTGGCACAACTGGTTTGTCCTGGTGGCACCTGGAGTAGGATGTTTTGATCAAACCTAAAACGTAAGTGAAATGATTCATTTCAACACATTCAAACTGACAACTACAGATTACTTTGGCATTCAAAACTTACTGTAGGCTTATTGCTCTTTTTTGAAATTTCATCTCAGTCAATATATTAGCTAATTCAGCTTTTGATGATTTGAATTTTTTGGTGAATTTGGCTCATCGGATATTGTCTATATCCCATTTTATTTTTTTCCATTTATCCGTCCTCTTCGGTTCAAATTGATATTTTTCAAAAATGAGTCTGAAAATGGAATGAGTTGTAGGTTATAAAATGAACGTACTTTTGAAATAGCAAGCGTTCAGCATCCAATTTTTACCACAAAATATAATTGACAGTGACTTAACTAAACACGCATTCAGTTCAGAAATTCAAAAGAAAAAGCATTATTTCCGAATTGTCCATTCACATTGCTGATAATTACTATGAATTGTTGTGACCGTAGGACTCCAAGCAATCATGACAGTGAATCTTGTACATTCAATGCACTGATTTCTGACATTGCATTACTTAGGATGATTTAAATAAAGTTTTCCTAATCTGACACCTGAAGCCAGCGTTTAGAAAATCTTAGTTCAACGTAACTTTTCTGGGCTAACTTTAGTGAGTCGGATCGGCAACGTGATATAAATAATTAAATGTAACATCATCCTAAAACTATGTACAGCCTGCAGATTACTAGCCTGTCTGGTGTCAGTTTGACATTAGGCCATTCAAGTGCAGTTTTAAGTATTTCGCGGCATCTGAAGCTGCCGCAAAACCATGGCGGAATCTCCAAACCATGGCCACAATGACCAAACCACGGCGGCTAACTTTCAAGCTGCCACAAACAATGGCGTGAGGCGGGGTACCACGGCAGCAAATTGAAAACCACGGCAGGTGAAATTATACTGCCATGAACCGTAGTTACGCTGCCGTAACCACGGCAAGAGCTGCCGTAACCACGGCAGGAGCTGCCGCGGTTACGGCAGGTAGGAATAACCTGTGGTAGCGAAAGATTTCTCGCCATGAACAGTGGAAGATAGTGGGGAACCTTGTGGTTAATTGCGCATTACCACGGCGGGATAACGGGGAGCGCGGCGACAAGTTGGTTGCTGCCATCAACTGAAGAAGCGAGATTAGCATTCAGTGTTGTTTGTTGTTTTGTTTGCATTCAAGAGTAATAAGGAAATGATTTGGCGTTACAAATGAAGTCAGCCTTGGGTGTACCTATATTGCTTTGAAGTACGCGGTACCGGTAGGGTGCAGTTGGAAGCAGAGTTGGATCATTTGTAATTGATGGTATTATTTACAGTTTTTTATGTAATTGTAATGTAATGACTGAATGGAGGCATTTTCATTCTGTGTAATCGTAACTGTAATTTGCTAAAATTCTGGCTCAATTACACTTTCAATTAGACTAAATCTTAGTATTTTGAAAATGGATGAACATCAAACAAACTCTTCCGAAACATGTGTTGAACCACTTCTTGCACCATTGTCAGAGTTTTTTAAATCTTTGAGCAGCACTGAGGCAGGCTGTAACAACTTCAAAAAAGGCTTCATCAAACGCACTTGAAGAGATGTTCTCCCATCTATATCTATAAATAGAGGAAAGGACCAAGAAAATCAGAAAGTGATGTAAATAGCTATTTGGGGGAAGAAATTTTGCAATTTGATGAAGACCAATTAATGTATTGGAAGAAGAAATCAGAAAAATTTCCCACGCTGAATTACAGCAACATCAGCCCCGTCAGAAAGAGTTTTTTCAATTGCGGATAACTTTTATACAGCATGAAGAAATTTATTGGGTTCAGAAACTTTTCGCAGCCTAATCTTCATCAAGTGCAATCCAACAGTTCTTGAGCAAGGGAAAATGTAAATACGAACCAAAATGTTATAATTGTAAATGCAGTTTGATATTTTTTGCACGGAGTAATTGTAATGTAATTGAAACATTTAAGGGAGTAGTTGTATTTGTAATTGAACTGAATTAGTGTAATTGATCCAACTCTGGTTAGGAAGTAATGGCTGGTTGGAAGTAAGGTGCCATTACTTCCTCTGGCAATAAATAATGTTGTATATCATTTGCGCTGTGTCTTTTTTAGTCATATTGATTCAAATTAGATCGCAGTACTACCAGAGTAAAATTGTGTCGGTTGGGTTTGATTAAAATTGCATTTACTCTGCTAGGCGATTCATCTACAGTAGGGGTTCTCAACCTTCTACTTTCTGCGAACCGGTACCACTTGAATTTTTCCTTTACCCCGAAAAAGCCACTCTTTGTAAGAAAACGGGAATGGAAGTATTTTATAATGTGGCACTACATCCATTTTTTCAGGGACAAATTATAACCAGTTGCATTAATTATATGCAGTAACAACATATTATTTTCTCTTCGTTTCTGATTTCCCAATACAGACAGATAACTTTTAACTTAAAATGAAAACATGCCAGTCTCTCTCGTTTTAGGGGTGTAGTGGCGGGTGAGGGCAATCCGTGAAAACAAGAAATGGATTGCATGCGATAAAAAAGAGAGAGGGTAATGCTCTCATAAATTACCCAACATAAGGGTTTGTTGTTGCAATAATTTAAAGCTGATTGCGTACCACAGTTGGCCCCTACAGCTTCTTGCACACTCACTATCTCCATCGTTGACACTGGAATCCTTTTATGACAAAGCCACTTAGATATGTCAACTATTTGTTAAGACAATTCTCGAATATTTCTATAATATTTACAGGCAGATGAGGAACCTCAACTAGCGAACTTCAAATTCCAAAAAAGAAGTATGACATTGTGCATGTTATTAAATTTTATTAAAGAAAATTACACAAAAACTTAAGTTTTATGTGCAGTGTTCACAGAAAAACTCTTCGTTACCCGCAAAATCTGCGCAATATTGGTGGCACCACCTTTCGCATCCATCACATTCGACCTACAACAAAATTATTACTTTACTTTATCCATCAAAACTGCATCCATAAGGAAAATGTTTGACCTTACCCAAAGTGTGCCACCATCAGGGGCAGTCCTGCCATTACAGCCCACACAAAAGTGTGCCAGCTCATCAACATCTAAAAGATGAAGGAAAACAAATGTAGGATTGCAAATACCTAACTAATATAGTCATGTATATTCCTCCTCAGATTCTAACCAACCGCAAAAATGAGTAAAATTTCTTTGCATACACGATCAATATTGACCTCAATCCGATACTTAATTAACTTCCTTTTCCATTCCATTTTTCAATATCATCAAATTAAAGCTCTGGGCTCTGAGTTTTATAACCCACTTAGCCATGTTCAAAAGAAAGTTCTAAATATCATCAAAATATAGCTGTGTGCTACCAACATATCCGTGACCGCATAGATGTTATGGTGCTAGTTGTTACTCGACTTCCAGCACTGCTCTCCACACTTGAATAAAAATGACTTATGCTTAGACCTAGTTAATAAAATAATAATGCACCTGTGGCTTCCAACAGAAGGTCTCCAAAATGGATTCTGTAGACTTTACAGATGCCTGTCGAATGATTGAAATCCGTTGTACAACCTGTTAAGATTGCTTCGGCAGCCTAGAATGTAAAAAAATAAAACAACTCATATTTCTATAGATTTGCACCAATGAGATGATTTAAAAATAAGGTTCCAGTTGAATGGTGGTGGTATCAATATAAAGTACTACTAGTAGTAAATGTTTACTCACAAATATAAATGAAAATTTAAAGATCTACCGTAATGAGCCTGTGTGCATCCTTATCAGTTTAATAATACCACTATAAAAACAAATTGGACCCGATGTACCTTCACAACCAAAATTCCACAATTAAACCCATCTTCTTGTTCACTATGCTTGTTTGTTAACAGTCTCCAATCTCTTTTGTCACCTCCATGGTATTTCCAAAATTTCCTGGGAGAAAACGTAAAAAAAAGAACAGCCCTGATTAGTCCCACAACACATAGGAACAATTTCATTTCTAGATCCTTAACTTTTTTTTTGAAGTGTTCTAAGAACTGCATATTCTTGCTAATATGAGCTTTCATACCTAGCTTGCAATCTCAGTGCAAAAAACTCGTACGATCCATACAGTTTCGGTAATCTGTTTTTGATGTTTTAAAATTCAGATAACACTAGTAGAGATTTGAATGCATGACTAAAACATTGATGTTCTATCGTTGAACTCAATAAGGGCATGATAATTTAAAATGAATCTGTGAGTGTTTACAAGCCAATAATCATTTAGTCAAGCAGAAAACCACAAACCTCCAATTCTCCATCAGCGTTTCAGCATAACTCTCTTCATGGCCAACAGGGTCATAAATAGTGACACTCCCTTGAGATGGATCTGTAATCTGAAAACATGAAACTTTGTTCACAAGAGTAGAAGAATTTCTGGTTTGAAGAGCAATACAATACAGAATATGCCATATTTGTTTTGACGTGATATATTGAAACATTTTGTAATTGCATTTGAGAAGAAAATTTTCCAAAAGAATTTCATTTAAATTAACAAAGATCTAGCAATTTACCTACCATTAGAGTCCAGTGATTGCCATGGTTCACAGCACTCATAGTTGGTTTTTCAATAGTCAACTTGGCCTGGATGTAAAATAGGATGGTAACGAAAGCGAATAAACGATGATCAAAAATAATAAACATGTTATTTTACCAAACTTTTGTACTTTCGACGATAAATCCCCTCCCAAAACCACATTGTGGAATATAATGCAGACAGAGCGCTATATTGAGTATGACTGGTCCACTAAAAACAAGTTGATTTAGAAAGATTAACATAATAATAAACTGAGTCACTGATAAGAAATTTCGGACTGAAATATAATTTATGGAGATGTCACAGTTCCACATGGAATACAGAGATGAACAATACTAAAAGACATACCTTATGACAAAGAGCTGCAATTATTCCATCTATTATCTTCAGCAAAGTTGGTAGCATTTGAAATAAAAATAATTATTGAAAAACTATAAGTTCAATTTTATAAACAATCTTACACAAACTAGAAATGATGGTTACATTCTGATGGTAATACTCCTGTATAAATTAGTACTTGTGTACATGCATAACATCTGAGTGATTTCCAAACTATGAACATGGCTGTACAGTTCCTTTGTTATGTACACACTGAGTTCTTAACAGCTAAAAATCATTTTATATAAATATTCGTTCAAAATGTTCCTCGGTATATTACTTCTATTGGCAGGGTTAGCGCTGCTGCTGAATTTCCTTGCAAGACAAAGATTAATTTCTGTTCAATGGTTAACCTAATCTATGGCTAATCCCCATGAAATTTGAATTCTTTATTTATCGCGAATGTATAGATTGTTTCTCTCACTAGGCCTCAATGACGGTTAAACACACATAACTCTACAACGGGTGGAACAAATTCGATGAACACTTTTAAAGGAATTTTCACGTTCTATTTTCTCACTTTATCATCAAGATAGCTGTCACCCTCAAGAAGGCACATACACTCCTTGTCTAGCCCTTTCTTTGTATCTCCAACTACACACTCAATCCTATTCCTATGAGTTGACTTCCATAATTTCTGTATGTCTGAAGATAATATTATGCATAGCATTATCAGTAACACGTAATTGCAACGCTATGACTGATAACAAAACTGAATCATTCATTGAATAATAACGCCTCATAATAACCTCATAAAATCAAAGTATTGTCATATAGAAGGAGATCAGCTATTGCTCAAAAAACTATCATTCAGACAATTACCAAAATATATGGCATTTGACCAATCTGTCCAATAAAACAAGGAAGCACACATGCTACTAAGTAATATTGCTGGTAGAAAGGAAAGATGAGGTGAATATTTTGGATTATATAACTAATACTACTGCAGAATATAATTCATTATAAAAGAAAATACACCTATTATGTATAAAATGCTTTAAATAAACCTGGAAGGGTGCTTGATCCATTCAGGTTGTTGCTCCAATAAACACCACTTCGCTACAGCCTCATGGTAACATGTCGAACTCATGCCCGAGGTTGGACAAAGGCACGAAAATTCCCCATTATCTTTATTGAAAGAAACTCTTACCCTCTTCAATGGTGCAAAATATTGAATTTTTTCAGTGTAAACGGAAAAATAGATTGTTCTTGTTTCGAAACCCATTGTTGAAAAATCAACAAGGGCTACAAGAGTGCAGCAATCCTTTTCACTGATTTCCTTCATATTTTTGCACCATTGAACCGACGAATCATTCAATATATTAAATTCCCTTAGTCGGTTTAGCGATGACAGTTGCAGTTTGTTTGTCGTTAAAATTGAAGATTCAGAGATAGAGTCCAAATGTCGACATTGGATTCCTGGATTGACTGTTGAAATGGCTTTGATAATTGAAATACAGTCGCCATCAGTGCACATAATTTTTTGTTTCAATGTGTGCTTTTGAACATGAATTGGAGCAAGTGGGCCAGAATCACTTTGAGCAACCATATAGATTCCATTGAATGTGTCAACACATACGCTCGGTAAAAGCTGAGTTGCATTGTGTTTAAGTTGAGCATGTCGCCTCAATGACGACTGATGCCTAAAGCGCTTGTCACAAGGTATGCATTGAAAGTTGAAAGTACCTGTAAAGTAAAAGTATGTAAACGAACAAGGTCTAAAAATGTGAAAAAAATATCGAATGAAAATGAATCATGTAAAAGTGGTAAAGAAATAGATACAAATCACAAAATTTCAATGCACGAGTTTTCTTGACATACAATAAACAATTATTTATGCTCTCATATCTATAAGCGGACACCAACTCAATACCTAATACTTGCTAAATATCCATTAGAACATCTTTTCAATCATTAGCTTACCTTCACATAGACTTTCTGAACTTTTGTTTTTAGAATCTATGTCCATATCCCTGACTTCTTCACTTTCAATCACACCCAAACAATCTACACCAAACATTGAAATTCCAAAGTTACTGTGTTATAGCTAGGTACTCTATTTGCAAGAAATAAGCCACAAAATAGTTTTAACCCTTACTCTTAGTAAGCCTCCTGTGGTCAATCATAGAATTTCTCCGTCCAAATATTTTTTCACAGGAGGGACAATGATAGTGACTCCTGGTCAAAGCACTTGTTCCTCGCTTCATACAATCTCTTCTACAAGGCATAATGAAAGCTAAAATATTTGAAGATATACCGACTTATAAAATGACCAGTCATCACAACGAAAATATTCAGTAATTATAGGCTGTACCAGTAATACTGTATACATACCTCTTTCATCCCCATTGATGATATGAACAGCATATTTGATATGTTGAGTTTTCAGGTGGTGTTGAAAGCCACCTGGTGTTGTAAATGATACTCCGATACATAGTATGCATTGGTAAAAATCATTCACTTTTATGCACAAATCATCAAAATTTTCTGATTTTGTCTTAAAATAAGTATCTGCCATTTATTACTTAATAAGGTGTTTCAAGATCTAAACATATATGAAGATACTGGTAGATACTTCAGTACACATAGTCTACACATCCAAATTAAAATATAATTCAACTTATCGTAGGCTACCTCGTGAATACTTGAAATTTGGAGATACAGAAATAGGGCAGTAAGGTACCTAGATTACCGGTACCGCATTCTGGCATTACCCTACTGCTGTACTGGCAGACTATCTAGCTATCAAAAAGTCAGAGTGATTGTTAAAAGACAGAGGCTTGCATGGATAACAGCTCACAAATCTTACGACTCTGTAACTGAAATTACCAAAGTCGCAACGCACTAATGAGGCACATTGATACCATACTCACCTGCCATTATCCATAGTACAAAAACCCCAGATACTGCAACATACATGGTAATAAGGCATACCGGTAAATATTTTCCGAAGCTGCCCTGAAACCATGGCAAAGCTGCCGCGGTAACGGCAGTACTTTTTGCCATCGCCGCGGTATATACACACTTGCCACGGTTTGCTAATAACCATGGCAAGAGACGGCGTGGTACGTTCGTGGCAGGAGCTGCCATGAAGTGGTAAGAACTGCGCCTCAGGCCATTCGTTTGACCAATGACATTAAACAACATGATAGGCAACTCTGACGTCACTCCATAAGACTACAGGCAAAACATTGTATTTCATGATACGCTCCAATGCACATATTTCTCGTCGCCTTTCGCGTCCGTTTTCCGCTCGCTTTTGCTACTCGGCGTCTTTTTTACGTGTAGTACCTGCCTTTTTGCGCTTGTAACGAAACAAAATAATCTCTATATCTGAGAAGTTTTGCTTACTTGGAAAGCTGGAATAACAGGCAAGCTGTAAAGAGCAATTCTGGACATCATAGACGTTTTTTTTTATCAGAGAAGATTACAAACGCGATAGCGGAAAGATTTGTGTGGAACATTTTGCAGATAATGACAAAGTTCAAAGTTAGTAATTTTAATGTTTGCGCTTAATCATTGAAATTTCATTTAAAGAGGGTGTCATACAAAACTGTGCTGCGATACAATTCCATAACACAAAGTTTGCACCTATCGAACTTGCTTTTGTAGGTGAATTTATTAGACATATTACATATTCAGTTAATCGTAGGTAACATTGCTGGTACATAATGCATCGTAGATAGGTTTGTTTAAATTTAGGAATTTAGCTCATAGCCCACTAATTAATATTATCTTCTATGCAGGAGGTTGCAGGGCTGAATTCAACTTGCAGCCTTACCGATCACCTGACGATGCTCATTTAGTTTGGCTCGAGCAAGTCTTCTTGAAATGCTTGTGTGGATGGAAACTACCTATATTTCTTGCCTTCCTCCGATTTTAGACAAATTTATTCTGAGGGATTTTGCATATAATTCTCACTGATTGTTGGCTGTTTATAATTCCTATTGATTGTGAATTCTGATTATAACAATGAGTTGAAAATTTTTTTACCTAATTTACTGGCACCTTTTTCTTGTCAATACTCCAAGCTGAGGTAATAAACATGACAATACATTTATGTCATCTGGAAGCAAAATAGGCACACTAATTAATAGTTTGGCACATTGAGATAATACATCATGACAGAAAATACAAGTTAAAGATATGTATGACCATCACATGGTAATTGAAATTAAAAAAAATTAATAGGGGCTGTGGAGTATGGAAAGTTCAAGACAAAGAAAAGAACAAATGTTCATAGCTCATGAACTCTCAATTTTGCCTCCATTGCTTTGTGAAGGCCAATATATTTCGAGTGGCTGAATTGGTTTACCTTTATGATAGCAACGATTTTGTATTTAATATAGCGAGATTATTTCAATTTAATTGAAGTGATATAATTTCCCAAAGCAATGCTTGAATCGTCTAGAATAGATCAGTGGTGTCAAGAGTTCGAGAGCCGCATTGCATTTTGAAAATTGTAAAAAGAGCCGCAAACAGTTTTTGATAATGTATACTTGAAAGATATTTTTAAGATAGTTTTAGTTTGTGACATATATTGTGATGCAACTAAACAGTTGGATTAAGTTTTATTATTTTCTTCAATTTCAAATGCAATTACATATTAATATTTGCATTCCACTATTATTGCAACATTTGCAAGTTACAGTATTTATTATAAAAAATCGTAAAATTCTATGTACAACCATCAAAATCATTTTTGAACAAGCTTTGAATAAGGAAAGAATAATACATACACTAAAAATAACTTAATCTAAATATATGAACCTAAAATTAACAAAAATACTACAGTATAAACTCAATGTTTTAATAATTACATTTGTCCTGGCGTTTGGCATTTTTTTTGTGTCACCAGCATACTAAGGCCAGTCTGAAATGATTTTATAGTACCAACTCTAACTAACGAGGCCACATGATCATGGGTTTATCTGGATCTTTACGAATGTCTAATTAATTCCAGTAATGCAAAAAAGTTACTTTTATCATTTCATGTATAGATCAGTAAAAAAACAAATGACAGATTTTTTCGACAAGACATTTCGCACTACATTGCGTGGCATAGGATTGCTTGAATTATTATTGATATTGATTTTTAGTAACTAAGTCGTTGTATAATTATATTAATATACAAACACATGGAAATTTTCTGTTCGAAGTTGGTCTTCGAATTTGTCATATTGACTGCTGAGCTTATTGTGTTTTTTGATTGTATTGATGGAAATATGACAAATTAAACAATGTGCTTCAGAATTTTGTGAAGAGCAGGAATGTTACAACTCCCATTTTCTTCGAAATTGCAACCTTCTTCATGTACTTTGCGTTTAATTTAATTACTCAAGTGTTTTATTCAAGTATTCTTTTGCTAGCTTGATGTGTATTCTTAATTGGGTCAAAATGTGGACAAAAAAAATCAATATTCCAAAACTACTTTCAGTAAATTGTTTTCTGTGTGAATAATCAATTTCACTTTAGAAGGTTTGAAAAATCTATTACATTTAGATAAAAAAAAAAAACTTCCAAAATACTATTACAATTATTGTTAAACGTTCGAGGGCCGCACTGGAAGTTCTCTGGGGCCGCGAGTTTGAGATCTCTGGTCTAGATTGAAGTTGTTCAAAAAATATATGATAGTATTTTATCATGAATGATGATTATACCCCTTCCGGAATTTCTTCTATAGTACTACCAAAAGTTGATGAACCAAATATAACACAGGTGCAGTGAGGTACCCGTAATCCTCATTTCCAAAGCTGTTTTAAGTATGTCTGGCGTGTTTTGTGCCTTTTTACAAATAAGACCGCTTATGCAATCTTACGCTTTGGAATTTTTAGTTATTTTCCTCAAGCCCTGCAGGATGTGGGGGCCATACACAACTCTACCGGAGGGTCAAATGTCTTTGCATGCCTCCATAGGTTGTTTTTCTATTGCAATTTTCTATTTTCAAATGCATTATATTTCTTGAAATCACACTGTCACTGATATGTCGCCAGACTTCTGATATCTCCCCGTCTGCTATAGTTGTCCTGTGAATAAATAATAGGAAATTGAGATTAGACGAATAGTTGAAAGTTTTGCTTTATGTCGGCTTAATTTCTTGATTGATATACTTACAATTTCTGCTATTGCCTCTTGTGCTGCAAGAGTCTCACAATGCTTAGACAGGTTTGTCCACAACTTTCACATCTGAAGAAAGAGAGGAGATTTATTAATTTTCGTTAAGAATAAATAAAGCAGTCTATATGATTCAGAATGGAAAAGCTAATAAATCCAATATCTCATGTTTTATTTAAAAAATATTTTACTGAATTTGGTATATAAACCAACTAATAAAAGGGTTTAGTCAGAAAATTACAAGCATTCGTGGCTCCAAATACTTGAGAAATCAGACTATACAATATAGACCGGTATGAGTGAAATGTTAGGTGAACTTGTTAACACTTCGATTCAATACGCAAATAAAAGTGAATGCGTAAAAGTATGTTACAATGAGCAGCAATCAACAATGAGTATATATCCTCACTGATTAAAAAAATCTAACTGGAGGTGCATGAACTATTTGAAACCATAAGGGGTAAGTAAATATGTAATTTCGGCAAATGGGCAACTACGTACCGTACTGAATTAATAACTTCGTAGTATTTGACAAAGGCTGGCTTTCCCACATGTACTTAACAGTGCGATGCCCGGGTGTGATATACAACAATAGTATTCACCTTACCTTTTACCGATTTCTTTTTACCCCAACTTTCAAAAATATCATTAAAATCGACAACAACTGTCAAAGCAGGCACGAACACCATTCGTGCTACGCCTTGAAAGCAGCACACATCCGCTCGTTTTCGTCTCGTCAAGTATGTGCATTGGAGCGTGCTATCGAATACGATCTTCGGACAAAAATGCCGGAGTTGCGCATCATGTTGTTTAATGTCATTGGTTTGACTAACCTCACACAACGAACTGCCTGGGCCGGATTTCCAGCCTCTAGAAATATTTTCCCATTTGTTTCTTCTCTCGGCATCTGCTGATAGCTTCAATAGTTGCACTGTTTGCTATTTCCGCTGCAATCAGACGCCGAGTAGCCTATAATTTTATAGCAGAAGGCACCAGCCTAGCCGAGGATCACGCAGAACCGCCGTAACCTCGCAGGCGACATTGATCGAAAATGGCGGCCAATTTCCATTGTTGCGCAACTTAGGTATATATGGGCTTTGCTGACCTGTTGTTCACAGCGTCATCTAGTGTTGGCGTGGGTAATTCATAACCACGGCGTCGTCTGCTGTATATTTTAGGCTGCTCGCTGTATACGGTATTCAAAGTTCGAATGAAAATGGATTTATCTGAGGAAGAAATGCTTGAATTTTTTGATGACGTGAGTTATATAGTACTGATTGCTTATTAAAATAGGTTTTGATCCTGAAAGAATGAATAGTAAGAGTTTATAGTACCGTAGTTTAATATATGCAAGTAGAGACCGTTTTTGTTTTGCTAAAAATTTGGAAGTATTTTTACATCACATTTGTTTTGCTTTATTCAGGCACTTAGGTACTGTTTTAGACCCGATATTATATATTTCACAGCTTGATGACGAGATAGAAATAAAATGAGGCATATCTGTAGTAGAAATCGACTACGGAAGTGTTGATTGCAAGAAGACACTGCAGACTGCATAGAATGATTTGAACATCACATTAAATCAGGAATCACCAATATGAGCAGATGTTATAGCGGATACGATGGAAATTTCTAGGGAAGAATCCAGAAGTAAAATGACAGCTAAATACATTGAAAAATTGCAAAAGCCGTATTCGAACAATTCTGAAATCTCTCATTTGGACCTAAAACGCATAATCAAAACTGCAGCACCGAAAATTATAAAAGAAGCGTTTTAAGCAACCCAAGTAACTGAGCCATTCATGCAAACGTCAATAACCAAAGGCGACAAAAAGGTGATCGAGTACCTAGCTCGGGGATTGCTAAAATGGGGAATAAAGCGTCTAGGTGGAGAAGGTGCTTTCTGGTGCCAAAACCAAGCTTCGAGGCGTGATCTTCCCAATTGCTTTGAAGAGCGCAATAGAGGCGGTCTCATATCAGCATCCGAAACATTTGTTCTCTTCCTAATCTCTGTGGAACACGAATTCCGGTCTCAAGTATGCAAAAGGGTAATAGATGAATGGCGTATTATCGGAAATATTGACATGGACCCCTTCAGCCCCAGTGAATCCAGTATTCTTGTAACCATTCTTGTAAGAAGATTTATTCGAACAAGGGCTCATATCCATTGCAAGACTGAAAATATGGACCCAAATCATATGGACTTCGCAATGGTTTGAAAAATTGTTTTTTCAAATAATCTCATTATTACGCTATAATAAAAATTAGCCAACAAATCAATTTCTACTTTGTGTTTTTAGCATAGGAAATACAAAAAAAAAAAAAACTGAACAGGAATTTTGACTCAAATATGAAGAATCACACAGACCTGGTAGAGAAAAATGTCAAATGAACAAACCAATAATTGATAGCTAATTTTAAAACATAGATGCGGTTTCACAAATTTGAACAAAATTATACGAAAGATAGGGGAACTTTTCAATTTGAATTCAGCCTCTCAAATAGGAGGCATTTTTGACAAATAAACCATCGATTAATATTCATATGAAAATATAGTTTTGGATACATTATGGTAACTATTATTTGAAGCAGAGACGAGCCAGCCACTAAAATTAGAAACAATTTGAAGAAAATGGACTAGTACTTGTATATAAATCCGTATGCATGTATTTAAGAAGAAAGAAGTCAGCTTCTAGAAATTTATCAATCATTTTCAATCGCAACATTAGAACCAATAACACTACTACTCGAATTTACAACATCTATTGATCTGGAGTTTGATGTGAATAAACTAAAGGTGGGGTTTCCAGTACGGGAACCTCGATCTCGTTGGTGACCAAAATATGCCTCTAGAGCAGGGGTCTCCAAATCAAAACATATCGCGCAATCCACTTTTTGAAATTTATTGGCCACGCGGGCCGCAAACCAAGAAATTAGGTACAAAAATGAGTATCTGAATGTATTGTGTTGAAACAGCAAACAAGACAGGGGTCTGCAACTACGGGGTCGCGACCCAAATTTTGGTTGCGAAGCACTTCGCTCTGGGTCGCAAAACAATTTAAATTTGCCATAATTATGAGCATCGCGCCTGTGTAGCATATTCAGGTATAACAACTATATAAATCTCCGATTATAATTATGGATGTTTCCCCGAGTATACACTTGCTTTTTTACTGCGATGACATTGGCTAATCAGTATAAGTGCAAATTTTGACATAATAATAAACATTTTAAAAGCGCTCAGATACTTCATAAAGCCATTCAGACAGTCTGCCGTGGTTGAATTTTGGATTTCAGTTGCAGGAATATCCGGTGATGCAATGAATGCTCTGTTGCCATTCGGAACTACCTACTTATGTGAAAGGACGTTTTCATACATAAAGAACAAATACAGAACAAGGCTAGAAGATCTTCGAATTACCGTCTCCCAAATTAAACCTCGAATTGACATGTTGTGCTCAAAACACAAAGCTTATATTTCGCATTAATCATAATAAACGCTATTATTCATTTTATGTGCTAAGTTTCATATAATTTTATGCAAGAAAATTGATAGGGTCAATAATAGTCTTAAAATTGATAACTAATTTTATGCTTACCAAATGCTTGGGTTGCAAGAAATTAGAAAAAGAATTTTTGGGTCGCGCTAAGAAGTAGTTGCGGACCCCTGCTCTAGAGGGTCTTGGTTTATTCACCGTGGTAAAACATAGCTCGCAACACTGTCCAAAACAATACGAATATTTGCAGCCATAGAAATAGATGCCATTCTCAAGCCATTTTTAGTGGCATCACTGAGCAGCATTTTCTGGCGATTAACTTCTCCCACCAATGGCCGACTGTATGCCTTTTCTTCCCAATATCCAGGTATTTTAAAAAATCTTTCTCCAAGCCATTCTAATCTTTTATCATAGATGTTGTAAAAGGCTGAATTTTCTCTTGTCTCCGTCCTGATCATGCACATGGAGACACATACAAGTGTAGCAGATGTTGGGTCATGTACTAGCATAAGAATACGCTATTTCACATTGAGAGATGAGATATCTGTATTGATACAATACCAAAAATAAATTCAACAAAAATACAACTAAATAGAAGTATATCTGACTAAATGCAAATATATCTTACCTTAATTTCAAGGAAATTCTGCCATCATCTTCTATTTCTGGAACACTTCTGGGAATCCATGAACTACCGGTATTTGTGGAAACAATATCATATCCCAAACACGGGGTGAGATCAACCAAGTTTTTGAGTAGGATTGAAATTGCCGATGATATTGTGGAAGAATAAACTCCAGCAAAAGCGCAAGAAAAGGAAAATTGTTTTTGGTCAAAATGGCAAATTAGATGGCTTATTTCCGGTGTCGTGATGTGATTAAACTGTGATTAGAATAGTATGTGAAATGAGTTTTGTATGTATTGATTTAATGTATTCTCCAGTCTTTCAAGGTGATACTTTCAAAAGCTGAAATTATTTCATTAATGGAATTGTAGTTAATAATTGCAGATTGAGATGATGAAGGTGGACAGTCATTTATAGATGAATATTTGGGAACAATTCTTCTTGGTGGGCAGGGAGGTACTTCATATGATTTTCTTGGCAACAATTTTGTGGGTGATGCTCCAAACTTAATCAAACTTTTTTAATTGGCCCTTTGAATATCTTCATCCTTGAAATTATCAGCACAAATTCTATCTTTTCCATTCTCAACTTTGCTTTTAAAGTTAGGAGAGTAGCGATATTTAAACACAATCTGGATGCAATAGAAAATTACTAACTATTAATAGCAATCAATTTGTCAAAGTCATAAGTGAGTTAATAAATGGCTAACACTAGAATACAATAAGGCACAAAATAAACAGTGAAAACTTATGACATCACATACAGCAGTAGCCTACACCATATTTCTGAAATGGAAAAATAAACTTTGCGCTTGCTTTGGATAGCCAAAATAAAATACGGTAAAATTGCAGATACCAAAAAAACGTGATGAAACTCTTGTATCCATTCTTTTGAAGGCATTCCAAATTTCATTTTCTTACCATCCGGGACACGATGCTTGCTTGGAACCATAATTAACTCTGTACCGGTAGGCTAACTAAAAAACGAATGTTAGCCTACCAGCACCGGAGTTACCAGTAGCTTAGGATAGGATTCTAGACTACCTTTTCTGTATATACAGTCTATATTTAAGTTTAATAATAATAGTTGCCTTTTTATTTCAGTTTTCGATATCTTGCCAACTTCGCGGAACTTGAAATGTGTAAACATGGCCTGAAAACAATCACACATTACCTGCGTCAAACTGCTTGATTCGGCTGTCCAGCAGACGACAGGGGTGTAAAACCCACGCCAACACCAGATGTCGCTGTCAACAACTCGGTGTCATGCAAAAAAGCGAGAGCTTCCAGACTAGTTATATAATGACTCTGATCATACTACTGCACCGGTACCGGTGCCGTAGCACCGGAATACAGTAGTCTAATATATGAATATAAAGTACCGTAACTGTATAATCTGCCCATCTTCAGATCTTGCGGTCTTACTCCAGTCTGTCATCTGGTCATGGCATCATTTGATGTTAACGTTAGATCATCCGAAGCTACCGATTTCACTGGAGTTGAAGATGTTCGATTTATATGTTCAAGGTAAATTTATTTATATGTTCAAGATAGATTCTCATAAAGCTAAACAAAAAAATCTAGATTATAAATACAAAAATAGCCTATGTAAATCATATTTTGTACATAAATTTATTCAATCAACCAATCATTTTATTTCGTCATTTTATTTTGTCATTTTATTACAATATAAAAATGACTTCAGATGCAAACAAATCCTTCATCTTGATCCATCGTTTGCCAACATCGATCAACAGACCTTCCTTGAGCTTGTCACCACAGCAAGACGTTCTAACTCAACTGCAAGCGAATCAAACTTGAGTCCACGAACACCGGAATCAAATGAGAGTCCATTGGTCAGTTGGTTGGTGAAATATTTATTTGACATGTACCGGTATTTGTGCAAAATTTGACATTCAATTTCCTAGCATTGGCTTGTTTACTTTTGTAACATTAGCCGGGTATAGTGCAGTAAACGCCGTAACTGCTCAAATAACGCCTAACAATATTGTGATGTGAAATGAACGCCCTAACTGCTCAAATAACACCAACAAAAATGCGATGGGAAATTTTAATTCGAAAATATCGAAATTACTCGCGTGTTGTTTTAAAACTTCGCTGTCGAAAAGGTGTTCGCCTCCCGCCACCCGTATGTCCTATGTCTGTATGTGTTTAGCGTATTGTGTTCGCGCAAGACGAACTTTTATTTTTAGAAAAAAAAAATTACGTTTTGTTTGGCGTTATTTAAGTACTTACAGCATTTGTTTTCACACAACATTTGTGTTTAGAGGTATTTAAGCAGTTACGGCGTTTGCTTCACGATACCCCATTAGCCAATCAGCAAGATGTCAATCGTAACATAAAAATTGATATTCCAGTTGTTCACTCGGATGAGTTTTCAGGCATTGGTGGTTAAATGTTTCGAATCAGATTGATGGTTATGAACGTGTAAAACCAGCTTGTGACTGCAGTAGGCCACAATTCCCTGATTCGTTCAATAAAACAAACACTCTATTTGTCTCTAAAACAAGAGCGCTTCGGATGATGACCTCATATGACCAAAATGGCGTTTTTTTTGCTAAAAAATATTGAATGCTAAGGTAAATTTTTTTTCTCGGGTAAATTGGATTATATTTTCAGAGAAATCCAATGGTGACGTTCTTAGTTTGCACTTTCTCATAGTTTATTACTTAGTGCCTGTTTGCCGATTTGTGTCGGTACGGATGCCCAGATTGTGTCGTAAAGCAGGGGTTTGCACTCAATATTGTAATTGATGTCTTTTATAGTTGGAGCTATTCTTGGAATCTGAGAACTGTGCCGCACTGAACTGCCAACCTGTGAAAATACTTAGAATAGCACCAAAAAATGTTGTCAATGATGCCATTATATAAAATTTCTTGGGGATCAATGGCCGAGAATACATCCATCATCGAATAATAATTCCCACTTCAATACTTATTATTCAAGAAAACGTCTCCATATTTAGTGATTATTTCTTCGTCTCATTCCTTATTAATGTAAAATTGAGCTTGATCAATAGGCATTACAATTAACAAGGCTTTCTTTTAATGTAATTTTATTCTACTTTACCAGACTTTTCTATGAAAAATCAACATAAAATATATGGATATGTTTACCAGACAATAAAATTTGTAAAATACAAATATATGAAAGTTTCAGGACATGAATTTTTTTTATTTAAATAGTTTGTATTGATAGTATTGGTATCAATCTTAATAAACGTAAAATATTTATAAATATTACTTTGATACATTTGGCATAATTACCTTACTGGTATTGAACTCATTCAGATAAATAATTGTCAATGTATATAAATTGCAGGAAAATTCAAGCTCATCCGAGGATGCGCCCCCACAAGAACAGGATGTATATTCTTCTGGTAGTGATAAATTAAAACCTCATACAACTGGTGCAGAGCCAACATCTTCTCTTGAATCATCATCCATTGGTAACAATAAAGTGCATGGTAGCGTTACAAGTTTTACAATGATAGGTGATGTGAGTGGTACAAGCATGGAGACATTCAGCCACAAATTAAATGTGAGTTCTTTTTATGTGTTAGGTAACACTTTGGATCTTTTCTGATTTTTAGCAATGATATTTGGTTTATGGTTTTGAATAAAAAAATATGTTCTTATTAATGTGATGTTTAAAAGTTTAATTTTCAGTTTAACAATTTTCTGGTCTACTGATTTCCATGGAGTTTGACTTCTTTGATATACCAGTCTAAGTTTGTTGCTAAGTAAGTATTTTATTCGAAGATCTGTGATAAACTGGGCAACATGTTCGCATGGCACGTGATTGCCACCAGGTATATTCATATCAAAGATAAATAAAGCACAACCGGTGTATAGCAAAACGATACAATTTGCCGACGTTTCGAATTTCTATTCAGAAAAACTTCATCAGGGCATGATATGAAGAGTACACTATTGTATATATATAGAGTAGAAAAAGAAAAAAGATAGTAAAAATTAAACGGCGTGAAAAACTGAAAAAAGGGGACAATATGATAATAGATCCGAGTGAATAAGCGCAAGTTCAAACAATTACGCGACTATCTAAACAATGATTTATATACATGCGGGAACAATGTAGTTTCTTTATCGTTCATTGAATTTTTCTCTTTGTTGATATGATAAGATTCGAGAAATAATCTTTTTCTGTAGTGAATTTCATGTTCCAATATCCTGCTGTTATCTGATCTGATCTCTACTGATCACAGCATTGATTGGGATAACAGCAGGATATTGGAACATGAAATTCACTACAGAAAAAGATTATTTCTCGAATCTTATCATATCAACAAAGAGAAAAATTCAATGAACGATAAAGAAACTACATTGTTCCCGCATGTATATATATCATTGTTTAGATAGTCGCGTAATTGTTTGAACTTGCGCTTATTCACTCGGATCTATTATCATATTGTCTTTTTTTTCAGTTTTTCACGCCGTTTAATTTTTACTATCTTTTTTATTTGTCTACTCTATATATATACGATAGTGTACTCTTCATATCATGCCCTGATGAAGTTTTTCTGAATAGAAATTCGAAACGTCGGCAAATTATATCGTTTTGCTATACACCGGTTGTGCTTTATTTATCTTCAACATATTGGCATGTTTTGTACACTTGGTAATCCAATAATTTTAGCCAAATGCTTCAGTTCAAGCATAAATTGTTAATTCTGTTTTTTGATTAATTTAAGACTATTGTCAAATTATTCGACATTCTGTCTGCTAACACCGATCTTGATCATCCACTGTGTGAAGAATGTAACGACCAAGTACTTGATCAATTTGATAAAGAACTCAAAGAAACTCAATCAAACTGTGAAATTTATCAGTGAGTTTTCTTTTTATTTCTAGCATGATATATCTAGTTATCAATCCCTATTCCTAATTATGCTTGGCAATTGACATTCACCAAACAAATAATAACTAGCCTATGTAATGATGTAAACTAGGTCTTTTATTACTCTTTACTATAAGTAAGTGCTAATTGGTGAATGCGATTTTTTATATTTAGTATGTTGGCTAAAAAAGTATTTATGTATAATATATATATATATATATTAATCAATTATCCTGTTTAGTATTGATTTCTTGATGAAATTTAATTCTGTTTGCTTTTTCATCAAAGTTCATTTTTGAAGAAGTTAGAAAAGGATCCTGTCACTCAAGATGAGATTGCATTGCTGACCTCAGAATTAGAGAGTTTAAAAGAAGAAGAAAAATCGTTGCTTTCAGAGTGAGTTGATAGAGGTTATATTTGAACAATTCAGCCTCTCCTCTACAATAAACTAATCAAAATTTATTGGTATTGAAAATTCTCTGCCACTGCCACACATATCACGAAAATATATTTCAGACTTGAAGAAACGGAAAGAGAGCGAGAGTCTACTCGTGAAAACATTGAAAAAATCAAAATGGAGAAACAAAAATTAGAATCTGAAGAAAAGAGGTAATCTAAATTGCATATGATGCTATGAAACGTTTTCCATAAGTCAACATCTCAATTGTGTGTGACCTATTATTATATTGTGTTTGAATATTGAAACTTTCCGGCTACAAATCTCAGCTTTTAGGTTTGTTTATGTATTTCACTGTACTTCACAGACTTAATAAATGAACCAAACTTGAGTAAAGATTTGCTCCTGTCAAAATTCTTTATTTCATTAGTATTTTCATTCGTCTAGTCTTTAAAATTAACTGAATATAGAATAGAATAATGCTTACAAGTTGTATAATTGTAAATGAATTCTATTGAATTTGCATGGAATCATTTCAGATTTCTTCAAGATTATGCTGAATTTCGTGCCCGGCAACTGGAATTAGATGAAGAACAAAAAAGTGTTGAGAATCAACTTCGACATGCAGAAAATCAGTTAAAACGCCTGCAAAAAACAAATGTTTTCAATGCTACTTTTCATATCTGGTATTTATCAATTTGTACTGCTAAACCAGTTAAAGATTTTTTCATCATTTTTGATTTGTAGAATTCTACATACAGATTCCTGCCAAGACCATGCATCCAAATAAAAATGAATGATAAATATTGAAAATAAAAGAAAATTCCCACTTTTGTGCTATTGCGGTGCTATTTCAAATATAATTTTCTGAATGTGCAATTTTTTTTAATCTTATTCAAAGATTTGAAAACAAATGCAATTACATAACTGGAATAAGTGCACTGAACAACAAAATTCAATCATATATTTATATTCCTTTGATATTTATCACCTGGGATATTCAATCATTTATAAAGTTTATTTTACATTTTATTTGCTTTATTTTCTTGCGCAGTTGAGATTTGATTAAGATATATAATACTTAATACTTTTCGGATCACATATCATCTACCATTGATTTTTAGGCATCAGGGTCCATTTGGCACTATCAATGGATTTCGTCTTGGTCGAGTTCCTGGTACTCCAGTAGAATGGAGTGAAATAAACGCAGCATGGGGTCAAACTACATTACTTCTTGCTTCACTTATTAAGAAAATGGGATTAAAATTAAAAAGATTTCGTCTTGTACCGTTTGGAAACCATTCCTACATAGAAACATTGGAAAACAAACCTAAAGTAAGTCAAAAGAACCAAAACTAATTTATACCTTCGCTGTCCTGTCACCCAGTTATTTGAATTTTGAAGATATGTATTTCACTAGTGAATAGTAAAAAATATTGGTATTATTAATAGCACACATTTCGGTGCTCTAGAAGCGTGTGTACCAATATGGAGGTAACTCCTTTTGTTCACCTACTTTACATCATGTTGCGTAAAGGGACTGAAACCTATGGGCAGGGAGTATATTCACTTGGCTAACACAGACAGTCCCTGAGCTCTTAATAGAACTGAAATGAGGAAAATCTGAATAAAATTATGGCCTAACCCTAACCTACTACGGGAGTACCCACATTTTGACATAAACTTTCTCTTTTCTTTGACATGATAGGAACTCCCTTTGTATGGCAGTGGTGGTTTTCGTTTACTGTGGGATACAAAGTTTGATCAAGGCATGGTAGCATTTCTTGATTGTCTCCAACAATTCAAGGAAGAAGTTGAGCAAAGCAAGAAAGGTTTCAAATTACCATACAAGTATGTTTCATCATTTTTATAATTCACAGAAAAAACATCTTGTTTTCTGGGTTTGGGTCATTTTCAACTATGAACTACTGTGCTAAGTTTGTTCATTTGTGTGCAGTTGTTACATTAAAAAAAAATTTGACTGAAGATCAACTGTTTAAATAATCCGCAGGGATGATAATAAATTCCAGAACAATGAACACATTAAACATGGAATTTTTTTCATTTCTACATATCAAAATTCTCAAGTTGAAACATAATATTAAACTGGTGAAATTAATGAACTGGTGTGTACCTTTCAACCACATGCTGGTTTCGAAACCCATGGTTGAGCATGATCAGTGAAGTGTGATATCACCAGTCACAGGAGACTGATCATGAATAACAGGCTGTGAATAGCATTGAATTCGGTTTGCTCTGTTTTTTGTATTAAGTGAAAGCACAGTTGCAGGTTGCTAGAAGTTTTATACAGTTATTATAAACTTCAAGACTGGACTAGTTATTGTAAATCACCATGTGGGAGGGATGGATTAAATGTTGTACAAGCGGATTATATACTAAACCACAGCTTACCACTAGCATATTAGCTAATCCAAAGCAATTTAACTTTTTCTTTGTGTAATTTTTTATTTCATGCTTTTTCTATAACTGGAGACTATTTTGTGAACACAATCAAGACCTTAATGATATTAATATCATTTGTGAACCAAATTGTTTGAATATTTAAATAACAAATACCAGTAGCACAGTTGATGTCTTCATTTACTGTTTATTGAGACTGTTGAAACTTGGATATTTGTTACTAGATATCCTGAGTTATAAGTATTTTAATATTCCATAAAAGACTAGATTGATTAGTCACAACATTTGGCACTGAGATGACAAATGCTTCTGTCGATTCACACAACCGTTTGATTTTAAAAATCATACTCAGTCTCTTTATTATCTTAATATTCTGTGGCATAATTGTTATATTACATGAAACAGTAAGCACTGACTGGGATGGGGTTATTGTAGAAATGTGGAATTTCGTATTGTCTGTAATTTTATATGGATGCTTTTTTATTAGAATGGAAAAAGGAAAAATTGAAGACACAGGAGGCACTGGAACATCATATTGGATAAAGCTACAATTCAATTCAGAAGAACAATGGACAAAAGCATTGAAATTTATGCTGACCAATTTAAAATGGGGACTTGCCTGGGTGTCTTCTGAATTTTCATCAAATACTTCGTCTTAATTCAAACTGAAACTCTTTGCATGGTAATGCAAGCCACCTATATTCTGCTTTATATTTGTATGTTGTATTAAAAAAACAGTAAATAATTTCTGAAAAGCTTGTGCTCTTTCCTAAATTTTCGTCATATTAATTTGGAATGTTCTGGAATACATTTATTGTAAATCGGGTGAATTCAACCACAAAACATATTCTGATTTATGGAATGTACATTGTAAGCTTCAAAGACTAGTGAAAGACGAAAGAGTAAAATAACTCAGAAATGAAAATTTTGTGGATTTCCATTTTGTGTGGAATGAGCAAGATAAGATTTGTTTTTGGCCTAATTTAGCATGTGTGGCCAAACACAAGAAAACAAACAGTCTTGCCTTCACCTATTAACTAAATATTTGATTCGATCAACCAGTCATATTTCAAAAATTAGAATTGTATTAGTTGTGTTACTCCTGATGATGTTGAGGCACTTGAATTAGGTACCTTTTAAAAGTAAAAAGTGAACAAACTTGCTCAAAAGCAATGTCAAAGTCAACTTTTGGCATGTTGAGAGCTACTAGAATCCTTAGGTTATTGGGAATCCATATGTGGATACTGGTTGATGAAATACTTGAGGGTTGAGGCAGTTCTATTCAATAGCAATATGATACTTCCTGACTAGTATGTACAATACACAGTGCTTTTGTTGAATATAAATGTATTTTATGTCTCAATATATTATGACATTTGTTGTTTGAACTCTTATTGTTTTGAAAATATTGTGCAATATTTATTAAATGTTTCACAGATGAAGGGTATGATTCATTCAATCACTGAGTATATTTGAGACCAACGTTGGGAAATTGTAGATTTTAGTTTGAAGAATAATGGGATATTCACTATAATTTTTAAATAAATTGTTGAAAAAGGAAACCCATCAGCTAGATATCCGAGATAACATATTTTATATGAATTGCCACCTTGGCACAAACATGATTATTGAATATGATATTATTTTTCAACACACATTTGCATGTATTCAATCCCCATAAGTAATATTGACTTGTGTCTGTGGCATTTATTTGAAAGGAGTATTTTCTGAGAGTGGACAACATCGTCTTTGCACTGTGGTTAGATAAGTTTTAGCAGCATTGGAAGTTGATAACTTCAGAAATGGATTGAATACTGACTGATATTTAAAATTTAATCTGTAAATATGGTCAAATGTTTTTTGGAAGATTTATCCCATTTTTTGTTGTTATATTTTGAAGAAAAAAATTAGATTTTGCTGTTTTTATAATTTCTGGTATGTATTATGATCTTTCAGTAAAATTTCGTCTAATTCCTGTAGCTTTCTGAATTTGAAGAGTAAATGGATGAGGATATAATATCAGATGAGGAATGGGAGTTGGCTGATAAACTTCGACATTGTTGCACACCCATGGGTGATGAAAAAGAAACAAGTTTGAAGCAATCTTCTGTTGCTTTGTTTGATATGGGGAAACTGTATCTGAATAAAGCATTTAATACCAAAGGAATGATGCAAAAACTAAATTTTATAAAATGTGCAACTTTGCTTCATGGTGCAAGAATTCGTTTCGAAAAACTGTTGAATGACAATGAAATGGGAAGTGAAGTGAGGAAAGTCCTGAATATTATGGGGGATTCATTGATACATGCATGTGGAGGTCAGGATTATGACATTGGTTTCTTGGAAGCCTCCTGGAAACTCGAAATTTTTTTGAATGAGCTTAGAGAGACTGAAAAGGGGAATTTGGAAAAGTTGGAGATCATAACGAATGATGTTTCAGAATCTGAGCTGTGGGAAAAACGTGCAAGAAGGATAAAAGTTATCAGAAAAACTTTGGAAAGAAACACATCTCACTACAAAGCTATTATGTGTGGAATAACTATTGAATGCTATATGATACTTGGAAAACCCCCATGCAAGTATGCAATCGTTGGACTTGGTTCTCTCGCTCGGGAGGAAGTAACCTTATATTCTGATTTTGAGCATGTGATCATAATAGATGATGCGGTGAAAGAGTTAACCGTTGGCCAACAAGAAGAAATTCAAGAATATTTTCGTTGGTTTACTGTTATATTTCAAATCCTCATCATTGGAATTGGTGAGACATTTATCCGAAGCGTTGGTGTTAAGAGTCTCAATGATCTTTACTCTGGAGATGCGTCAAAAAATTGGTATTATGATATGTTTACTCCTTCTGGAATATCTTTCGATGGAAGAGTTCCACACTCTTGCAACATACCTCTTGGTAGACAAGAAACAACAAAAACTCGGAATAGCAAAGTTGAGCTTATTCAACCTGCAAGTAAAATGGCAAAATTTTTAACTTCTAACGAACATCTTAAAAATGGATACTATTTGAGTGATCTCCTGTCACGGACATGTTTTGTAATCGGCGACACGGATTTATATGAGTACTTTAGAACAAAGACATTTGAAACTCTTGGTACCGAGGATTCTACTAAGAGTGTTGAAGAATGGGAAGAGATGTTAGTACCAAAAAGTGGAACGATTCTGAATAATTCGATGTCTGGTGCAATAAAGACATTTTGCGATATAAAAACCATGTTTTACAGACCTGTGACAGCAATATTAGCATACTGGGCACGAAAATGGCGCTTCACGAGTGGATCAACATTTGACTGTGTTTTACACATAAAGAATCACCCAAGAGCCGAGGGTTTACCGCTGAAATGGTGTGATCGATTAGAATATACTGTTGCTGCTGTTTGTGAAATGAGGTTAAAAGCATATGCCACTGGTAAAAACCAGAGGCTAAAGGTTTTACGACAGGATGTTGATAAATTCGTTGGAAATAGTACTATTCTATTCTGCTGCGATGTTATTCACGAATTATACGCAACTGTTGAGAGCAGTGAATTAAAAAATACTAGTCCCCCTGACAACGGTTGCCTTCAGGACTTGCCTCCAACTCTTATAGAGGAAATCAATGATTGTAGAGCACAGGCTCAACATCTAAATATCATGGGACATCACAATGGTGCTCGAATACTACTTGAGAGTCTGGCGGAGAGAAGGGACTTGGGACATTTGGCTTTTGATATAAGACTGTCCTTAGCTCTGACATATGTGTTTTTGGGAGACGAGTTGGCAGAAATGAATGAAAATCGAATGGAGTTATTCACGAAAGCAGAAAACATTATGTCAGATCTTATGTGCTGGAAAGAATTTTGTGGTAATGCATATGGCAGAGCAACGATTTGTGCAAAGTTAGCAAGTATTTATTTTAACCAAAATTCCATCCCTAAGATGGCATCTGTTCTCAGGCGATGGTTTTCGGCATTTTCAAATGATGACATTTCTCTCATTAATAAACAGCTCCTGCTCATGAGAGCACTTGATGCAATTAATGAGTTAGAACCTTGGGAAATCCGAGAGTATTTTGTAAAAGTTCTTACTGAAGATGAGGATTTGCTATCAAAATTAATTCTACAACTAGCTTTGGCGTGTGCTGACCTATCTGACGGTAGTGCGGAAGTAGCTCGTAGAAATATACTGGAAATATTTGAAAAATGTGAAGAAAATATAGGAACTTTCGACCAGGATTTACTGGATCGTTTTTTGGAAAGAGTAATTGAAATTCAAGGTAAACAAATGTGGTTGGTTGACTCTTTTTTGACAATGGAACTTGTTTCTGGGATGCGAACCAGTCAAAGAAGTGCTGTGGATAACACTGATACCTTCAAGTTATTCACCAACCCTGTGCAGCGCCTCCTTCTTTTTCTTTTTGCATCGGAAACTGAAAAGAAACAAAAGCGTAAAATACGGTACGTTTTTAAGGCTATTGCTATATGCCAAGAACTCGAAAGGACGGAACATAAGACCGAAAATTTGATTGAGCAGGGTAAAAAACAATATCCTCGTGCAATTTCCCAGCTTTTTGCATGTTGTGATTTTGAGCACATAACCAGACTTTGCTCGTGTTATCTTGAAGTCCCACATTATGTACGTGGCAACTCAAGTGTGAAACGATCAACAACTGCTTTCATCAGAAATTTTCTACATCACTGTACACTTGAAGTGAAGAGTGGCAAACTTCACAGTATATATGGTGAATTTATGAAGGTGTCTGGTGCTTTTGCACACTTACTTTCCCACCCTGCATGTATTCTTGAAATAAATGATTTCTTATCAGTTCTAAATGGATCTGATATGATGAAATTCTTTCCAGTTTGGCAAAGATGGATCAAACCTAATGAAGGGGATAGTCGCATCATTCGAATTTTCAATTCAGCACTTCACATGCTTTCTAAATATGACGTTGTGAATAGTTCCAAGTTGTTTTGGAAATTGCTGCATTATACCAACTGCGACAGGAGCTTGAAAAGAAAGGTGGTGATCCTCTTACAGTTTGTAATACAGATTTGTCCGAACGTTATTTGTATGTTACATTTGTCATATCGTTGGATGCTAGCAGTAGCAGAGCACAAGGGTGAACTCCGGACATCGAAAACTAAACTGTATAATGAGGTCATAGGCATGCATGATGTGGATAAACAAGCAAACTTTTTTTGGAGATTCATTGTGTCTGAAGATTATCGTTCACCCATTTATGTTAAATCGCTGTTGTTTTTTCTTTGTATTCTGGACAAAAAGTTATCAGAGTCAAATTGGACACTATAAGTCCTGACAGCGTATATTGCCTTGTTTTTACTTCAATTATGGCCTAAGACCCCGATAAATTTTATGGGTGATAAAGAGACCTTGGGAACGATTTGACTGCTCAGCTATTAGGAATTTGAAAGGTCGCATCAAGGTTCAAAATCATGGATGTGACAAAATCTAACATAGATATTTCCATCGTTTATCGACGTATTTTGAAATTCCGTTTCGCATATTTATCGAAAGTTTATAATCGATGATTTGAATTGCCCAACTGGCAAGCCGATTCTAAGACTTGTTCGTCATCGTCATACATATTAATAATCTATACTATATCATTGCTGCCCCTTTTTTCCACAAGCGTTCGAAGGCTAGAATGGATAGATCAGGGTGGTCCAAACCTATGCCCGCGGGCCACATGTGGCCCGCCGCTTCATTATCTGTGGCCCGCGTCGCATGCAAAGAGGAATCAAAAAATCACATTTCGTGTTTTATCGTCATAAAATTGACCAAAATATCTGTTGATATATTGTCCCATCATGAATGCCACTTACTTGACTAGTGTTATGGCTTGCTGAGACAACTAGCGAAGTTGAATGAGCGAATTCTTAGCACTATTGTGGCCCGCGAACAATGCAAAAGTAATTTTGTGTCCCGCGGAGCTGACAATCTTGGACCACCCTGAGATAGATTATCTTTATATGGAGACCTGGCCTAAATAGCTTTGGGTCAACCAGGTAAACAATACATTTGTAAGTTGCATCGCTGTATTTCCTAGTGTAATTTGTAATAACACCTGAACAAATGTTCAAATTATTATATTATATTCAGCTTATTTATAAGTATATTACTGAACCCTACCGCCTTTTCTTGCAGTATGTGTATTTTATTGAATAACCAGTCTAGCAAGCAGTACGTGTTGTACTGTATGGCCGTTTTTCATATCATGTATATATGTGTGTCTATCGAATATGTTGCGCTCGTAATCATTGATTTTTTAAAATCATGGCTTAACTGGTACAAAAGCAGGTTTAAATAGGTTCATCATTTGGATAAATTTTGGAGGTTTCAGAAGAAAACGATATGTACACCCGGTATTGTTTACAAACTAAAGTTGTGACATATATAAATAAATATGTATCTGAGCTCTATATGACAGAAAAACTTTTCTTCATCCCCAATACATTGGATATTTGATGTGATTTGAATTACTTATTCATTCTCTAGTTCATTAATATTAGGCGCAATTTATCCTGTAGTTATTCCAAATCCAAGGAAAGTTGTCGATAATATGATGTTATCCTAAATCGGAAATAGTCCGATTCCTAAAAGCCGAAAAGACGGCTTAATCATATGACGGACCGGAGTCCCTCACCCGTGTACCAGTCCATGTCAACCATGGGATTAGTTTGTCCGTTATTCGATTCAGATGCTCTTGAGTCTTGACGATGGAGGAAGCGTAGCCGATCAACGGTTACGTGAACGGCGATCCAGCAATCGTCTCGCGCATAATTATCCCCTGCAACTGTAAACCACGATTGAAAATCTGTCTGAGGAGTTGGTTAAATTTTGACAATTACGCCAGCGTTATTTCTTGGCTGGTTGGTCATTGATACAGAAGAATAACAGATTTGATGGTCAAGCAATATTTTCAACGCGAAATCTCACAGTGAGAAAAGATAGGATTTCATAATCACCGAATGAGCTTGATGTGTGTTCCTTCGCCCCATGAATACGTAAATACCGGAACGTGCCGTGTTTTGTGTAATTACCGATAACCGTATTGTATTATACAGAGCCTGTATCAAAGAGGATATGTGGATGAACTCCAACATAGAATCGTTAAAGGGACGATAGCAATTTCTGAGACAATCGCATGGAACATTGTACGTGTGGGTTACACTTTTCAAAGACAAAAAGAACATATATACATAACAATTCAGCAAAACGATCTATTGGTTCACTATCTATCTAATCAAATAGCAATCACTCATAATATATTCTCAATGATATCGAAATCCGTAGCGCTCTAAGAAATAACTCGCAAATTTATAATTTTTTTTATATGGTATTTTTATTCTTGGTTTTTCGGCAACTCACTTTGGAAGTTATATTTTATAATTGTAGGATTGCGCGATAAATTGATAAAACATGAATGCGCGCGGCCGTGATTCACACTTTCAGATTGATTTCATACTTTTATAAATTCATTAACTTATCACACGAAACAATGAATTAATGAAATTAACTACTACTGTGAAGCAACGGTAGAAACTTTGCTAAAAGTCTCGCCATGATCGAACAGAGGCATGGGTAAGGTCCCAATAAATGTGAAGTACAAAGATTGCTGATTATGAAAATTTGACAATAATTAATTATAACCCAGTTTTCGGTCGAAATATATTGTTCGCGATTTTATTTCAAAATCGTATATTCAATGTCAACCAGCCAGTGCGTAGTTGATGCTGTTTTTCTTTATATTTCTCAAAGTAGAATTTGCCCATCGAACACTGAAAATTTGTCACATAAATAACATTTAACAACGGAATCGGGTTTTACTAAAATACTCCCATATGTCCTAACCACGCTGCATATCTCTTGTAGCAGAGCGATCATGAAACTATCTCGATTCGTGAATAATTTTAAGCGATACCGGGATAAGATCACGCGAAATTGCTTTGTAACCATTGTGACGCAACAAGCTAAAATTATAACTTATTACGTGAAACGTCACGCTGCGGTTAACGGGTTATCTCAAAGTAGAACCGGTTAATTTTACCCGGTTAACGGTTAAAGTGTTTTCCCTGATATTACCAGCCCTGCCCATAACCCAAGCAAAGTTTGATAAAATATACCACTTAACAAAACCTACTAAAACGCACTGGGGAGTCGATTGTTTCCATCGATCCCAAGTCAAGCCTGACTCGAATATCAGCCATTCTAAGCTTAAAAAATGTGCCAAACCACTGCGGTAGCACTTTTACTGAAACCCACCATGTTTGTTGTGTGTTTTTGTTACAGCTACACGTTCGTGTTTCATTAGTTTTTTGTTTATATATAGATATATACCAAGTTTATGTGTATGCTATATGGGCAGTAATTTCCCTACACCCGCGCAACAATTTAAAATGGCCTGCGAACTTTTAGTGAACTAGTTTAACGGTTAAACTTTGACCTAAATTTGCGTTTGAGATACCGCCAATTGTTAAAACATTATCACAGTTTAGCACGTGTATTTCGTAACAATTCAATTATTCCGGTATCTCATGTATGCGTATTAGAATTACATTAGGCAATATTTTAGATATCAGCCATATATTAAGAAAGCTTGAAGATGCCACAAAACGAAAACTAAACACTGAAAACAGACGTTTTTTAGATGAATGTCAGCGTTCTTATTGCTTTGTTGAAAAGAATTAAACTTCAGCGATTTGTCTTCCTTGCCAACAAAATATTTCAGTTCTGAAGGAATACAACATTGGGCGCCATTATGAGACGAAGCATTCTTCAAATTATGATCAGTTGACGCGCGTATATCAAAATTTAAATCATTGCTAAATTCATACAAAAGTCAAACAAAGATGTTCAAAAAATGAAAGTGAATCTACGATATTGGCCAGTTATAGTGTAGCCTGCAACATCGCTAAAAAGAATCGCCCGTTTGTTGGAGGGAAATTTTTCCGTGAATGTATGCTGCAAGTTTGGAAGTCATTTCTCCTGATATTAAAAGTTAATTTTCCAGCATCAGTTCTAACAAACAATTATGAACCTCAACAAATCAAAACTTCGGTCCAGGCTGACAGATATTCACTTGAATGTGTTATTGCGAGTACAATGTACTGAATTGGAGCCACGTTTTGAACATATTATGATTTCGAGCCAACCCGAATTACACATATATACAATGTACTCATACACTACGTTAACTAAATTATGTTTGCATTTCGTTTTTATATATATATACAGATTGGGATGTTTTTTGTGTAATAAAACAAGCTATAAGTAGCCATTCGTATGAGGCCGTATGCTAGATGAGCAAGTAACTTCATTAGTTACTTCACTTGAATGCGTTATTGCGAGTACAATGTACTGAATTGGAGCCACGTTTTAAACATATGATTTCGAGCCAACCCTAATTACATCTATATACAATGTAGCCTACACATACACTACGTTAACTAAATTATGTTGGCATTTCCTTTTATATATATATATATACATTGGGATGTTTTTTGTGTAATAAAACAAGCCATAAGTAGCCATTCGTATGATGCCGTATGCTACATGAGCTAGTAACTTTATTAGTTGCAAATTCCTTGTTGAAAGCCGTGCTCGTTATTTATTCCTCGGGTATTCTATCATCTAACTATTATATTTGTTAATTTTATTACATAACAAAATGCGATGCTAGGTGTATCTGAAATCAGGCTTGCAGCCTATTTCAGTGCCTATTTTTCGAAATTTTCTCAGACCGCTTCAGCGCGCCCTGAACCCCATCCGTGCCGTCGCGCCCTTTTTGTCGCTCCCCCTCTCTGGCCCTCCAATATTCTTCTGCTACCTATTGTGCCCCGCGGCCAATAAACTTTGGGAACCACTGATGTAGATCGTTTGTCAAATACATAACAAATTTCCAAGTCACAAATAGTTTTATCGCTAATAGAAAAAATATTTACCCCCCCCCCCTAAATTTCGTAACCCCCCTAAAATGAAAAGCTGGGGAACATACTGTATATGGGTAAAGTGACGCATATATTTATATGTGTTAAACCTTATATATATATAGGAGGGTTTAAAGATTTTCCAATCTACTGTGTGTTCGTTCGTATTATGTTTTACCGAGGGAATCAATAAAAACTCATTCCTATGTTATATATTCTAATACAGTAACGGTATAACTGGACAACTTCCAATGGGTTTATAGTCGACTTTACCTGATTATAGTTTAAATCCTTTACAAATTTCAAAATTTTATTGAAAACAGTGCATTCGTTACGCTAATTACAGATTATCATAGTCAAAAACTGAGTCATCTATCGATAACAACGCCGTATCCGTCGTCGGTGGATAATCATAATCTGAGAAAATGTCAGAAACATTGTATATTTCTGACAAGTTTCCTATAACATCGTCAAATGACGCTCCAGTTTCCGTCAGCTTTCTAACTTCATCTTCAAAATTATATTCAAATAGTTTGTCTTCGTAATCTTGCCCGCTAAATTCTACGTCGCTATAATATTCATTGTATGATTTCCAACCATCGAGCTCCTTCAGATTTTCACGCAGCTGCAAGATGTCGCTTTCGATCAACGTCAATTCCACTTCTTCTCTATAATTTGACGATTGATTTCCTTCAAATTCAATGACTCCGGTGTCGTAGGCTGTTTCAGCAAATCCTTGCGGATATTCTGTCCAGTTACTTTCTAGTTCGTCCCAGTCATAATATTTTTTCAAGTCAACCTCTTTTTCCGATTCCATTCTGCTGTCATGCAGCGTTCGCTCATATTTAGCTGGACGCACGCCAACAGACGCAATTTTCTTACCGATAGACAATATGTCGGATGAATCTTTTTTGCTCTCGCTTGCTAGATTAGAGTATTCATCATATTGTGAATGTGAATCTCCGTTATCAAATACTGGATCATAGGCTGTAATAAGATCCATGTTCTCATTCGTAGCAGCAACAGGAAGTGAGATTTGCCATTGCGTGCCGATTTTGACCGAACGGGATTCTTCAGAGGAACGGTTTGTATCGGCCAGGTTGTTAAAACTTACAGGTTCAGCAATTTTGTTTCCATTTTCTTCTAATGAGACATAGTCCGGTACCCCATTGGTCGGCATGTCTTGTGTGACTGTTTTTTCTTTATTTAACAGTGCAATTCCATTTGTGCTTCTGTTTACATTTTCCTTCAATTGCAAGGCAGAACCTGATTGTTCTGTTAGAATTTTGAAAGAGGATTCGTTTCTCACTATTTCTTCGGTGTTAGTTATATTTTGTGAGGAGAAAGTTTTGGTTGAAATTTGAGGGGGATCGAAAACAGCTGCTTTCTTGTCTCCATAATCAAATTCATCTTCTTCTCGCGTAACTACGTGGTGTTCATTGTTTTGTGTTGTTGATTCATCTTGTTGATAATCAGCACTTACAAACTTTGAACTGGCCATTCGTCTGGAAATTTCCACGTCGTACGCTTCCTGCAACCAATATAATTTGTGGTTATTTTTCTTTCTTGTTACCCTTAGTACTGTTTCTGTTATCACATAAATGCTTTATTATCATTTTGTGTATTAATTGGACACAAAAGACTACACAAAAGCTGTTACTTTTTGTTAATGTATCTATGTCTCCGTTTGTCTCTAAACGTAATTAAAATTCTTCAAACACAGCGACCATACGAAGCGCGCCCTAAAATGCGAATCGTACAAAAATGGACCTGAATTTTAACGTTGTGTAGTATAGGCAGTGACATAAGTATCGTTTGTTTATTATGCGAAGAAGAATGAATGTATTCCGTTTTACATCGTTGGCAATTGAAATTGAGGAGGTAAGTAATAGAAGTGCATTTCTTCCACGTTGCATTGTGTTATTCATCGGTACATTATGTCTCGTTTTGAAGTAATTTTTGGCACATAGGTAATTCTTACCCATTACAATGACAAGTGATCAAAGTTACACCAAAGCAATTTTGAATAATCGATTGGAGATCAAGCCTGAATTGAATTTCGGATAATTTCTGTTTTATATATCCTAACCAATTTATCGCGGATATACGGTTTGAAAGAGAGATTGCAAGGAATCATACTAATATAGCTAAGATCAATGCGCTCATCGCGCCTAGTAAATTGTACATAAAACAATTCGATTGAATTGTCAAAACCTTAAATCTACATGTGTACCTGGTAAGTACATCTCATGTCGCGAATACGAACGTCTTCCACTTTATGGCCTTTAAAGTTGTCTGGTAAAATACATCTACTCTTCACTGGCCGCTGATAGTTCCAAGTATCTGCATCATCCCAAATTATGGATCTTCAAAACAAAAATATATTTTGGTGAATCCTATGCGAAAACTCAGATCTTCGTTATAGTATAACTAAGTTATTTCCTGTGTCAATCTTGCATTACATTACTCTATATATGCAACAAAATCGAGTTGGAATCAATCGCTCCTACAATGTAATCAGCTTGCAGTCCGATTGTACTGCTGACAAGCCCACGCCCCTTAAACTTTTTTACGTTTACCCTTTTGCGTCTTAGCTGCTTCTTGTGACAAGTTGGCTGCTGGCAAAAGTATGGGGTATCATTTTCTGGGAAATAATGCTAGAGATAAATAAACGTTTATCTAAAATAATATCCTGAACACTAACAATTTTTATTCAAGGGTAATCACACGTTGTTTCAACAGTATTATTATCAAAACTGGAGATAAAATCTCCTAGTGCCATTTCGAGATGAAACGTTTCGCTTCGTGACATTTTGCCTGCAAGACTTAAAAATATCGTAGAAAATACCTGAAATTACCTGTAAGGGTCCATTCTCAGACTGTGTTTAGGAGAAAACGGGCTGTGTAATCGTACAAGTAGGGAAAGCAAGTTTCCACAACTGCAGGTCAATGGGTTTCCATACAACCACAATGCATATATTCGAAATAACCAAGGCCCAGACGGAAGAGTACTTAAATTACAATCATGAAGATAGACCAAGCGAAGAGATGGTAGAGACCAAAACACTTTCTTTGGCAGAAGGGAAAGATTACGATTTCCATTGAGGCGCAGTGACCATAGATGTTCCATTCCATAGAATGAATTAGAATTCAAACTCGCTATATCATTCCTCGATAAGTCCAAAATTTGAAGTCTGTAAACCGATGAAAATACGCGGTCTTCGATTTGATTAATCTGATTTCCCGCTAAATGTAATATTTCCAACTGTTTTAAACCAGATACACTTTCTTCTGGAATTTCTCTTATATGGTTATTGTCAAGGTATAGTCTTTCTATTGACGAGGGAAGCGATGCTGGAAACGTATTCAGATTTGTTTCGCCTAAATCTAGATTTTTTAAAGAACGCAACTGGATCGTACGCAATATTTGATGAGAAGATATCCCATTTTTAACATAGTTCATATTCTCGACATCTCGTTTCCTGCGATTGGATTTCAGAGATGCACTGTTAATATCATTTTCGTCCAGGTAGAATTCGTTATTATCTGGCATTGCATTTTTAACGACTTTTTGGTGAATATCTATTTCGGCCGTCACAAAATGCTTTAAAATATCGTCCATTTTTGTCACCGTCCTTGGTCCTAATGGATTTGATCGTAGTTGCAAAACTTTAAGTTTATGCAAGCCATGAAAAGCCTTTTTGCTTATCCAAGAGATTTTATTCCAGCTCATTCTCAATACTTCCAAATTACGTAGAGATGAGAATGAATAATTTGGTATTCCCCTTATAAAATTGTTGTTCAGGTTGAGAGATGTCAAAGTGTCGGGGACTGACTGAAGAAATATTGTGTCCGACGTGTTAAAAGTGCAGGCGACAGTTTCGTTCATCAAAAAATCATCACTTGTTTTGTATTCGCAGGGTTGAGTCAGCCGATTCATCTTATTGTAACTGAGATCCAATGTTTGAAGATTGACAAGATCTAGGAAAGCATCTGGGTTTATTTTGTAAATTTGATTGTTTTGTAGATATAAATGGGAAACGTGGTTTATTTCGTGGCGCATAACGTCCTTCAATATCCTCGGCGGCAAAAAAGTTAAATTATTATATCCCAAATGTACCGACTCTGTTCGAATTGGTAAATATCCACTCAACAATTTTTCATTTTTTGTTAATTTAAAGCGTTCTGCACTTATCGCAGTTATACCTTGCCTGCTACAATAAACAACAGTTTCCACGACGCATGTACAAGGAAAAGGACAGGATTCTTCTACTTCAGGAGAATCGACATCAGAATAGAAAGGGAATCCTGAACCATCAATTGTCCAATCATAACTGTAGGTTTGCTTGTCAGAGTCCGTTTCATCGTTATTAAGAAACGTGTCGTTGACTTCCGGGTTATAGGATATTTCATTCCATTCTGCAGTTTTCTCCAAACTTAGAGGACGAGAGAAAATCGAGTCGACTAATAATAATAATACGGTTGTCAGGATTATCCACAAAGTCATGTAATATCCAGTGAAGCCCAACATGTTTCACCATATATTTTTCAGCAAGTTACTTCTGTCTGTTTTCTGGAAATCATCCCAGCGACGTCTCAAATAAAATGGCATTTTTTATCTACAAAATCTTAGCTATTAATGATGTAAAATATCGATTTTTGCATTTTACGTTTTCTGTTTCGAAATAAAAAACAAAAAGAAAAAAAATATTGAAACAAATTACGGAAATGTAGTTCAGAAGAAATCGCAAACAATTCAACCATCCTATTCCGGTAATTCACGCCAATTGGCACGCTGTACGTAATAAATGACGTCATAAAGGGGCCAATTGCTTTTTTTCAGACGCCAAAATGCCAAATAATATTTGGCACTAAAATACGCATATTCTAATTTAACTCGAAAACTTGCCAATTTCCCATTATCTGACACGACCCGGTCATTGCGTCGCCATGCGTGCGTCAAGATTTGATATAAGTTACGTTTATGAACTTGGGGTTTTCAGTTCGTTTTCTCCCTCTTGTCGCCATTTATCGAAATGCTCTTACTGAGTGGTTTGGATGATGCGTAATTGAATTTTGAATCTTGCAATTGTATAAAACCAAACTTAATAGAATCCTGGCAGAGTTGTACAGAATATCTATCCACCATTATTTGTATCACGTTGAGCAAACAATTTCAACCAATCAGATACGAAAAAATACAGTCAATGTCTCATGTTATCGAAACACGTTACGAGCATGGACCACAGATATATATATCCATAAGAAATACTGACAGCAAAAATAATTTATAAAGAATCGAACATCAAGCTTCTGTACATCCTATAAAAAAAATGTTTATTCAAATTACAAGAAAACTATTTAATTAGGAATCGGTTCGTGGACTGGCTTCCTAAACTGAAATTTGTCCTTTTGTGAATATCGAAAATTCTTTAACAATTTAACCAGGACCAACTTGTACTGAGAGAGCATGCACCAGTTTGCACTCGAAATTGGTTGATTTTTCGAATTTACGCATAAAATTAATCATACGTCTTTATTATACAAAAAAAAACGAAGCATATCTGGTATGGATATGCACTTTATCTCAATAAAGTATTTCAGGAATCGGAGGTATTTTGAATTCACCTTATGGGAAGTTAGAACTATTAGTTGGGGTTACTCCCTATCTTTTCTCCATGCTTTCGAGCTAGTGGATCCGTATATACCGTAAGTATGTGAGTCTTGCTGGCTGCTACACACTAACACAAATCTATTTCTGTAAACAATTTGTCTGACCGAGGTCAGACCCTTAAGCATATTTCAACTGTTGCAAGCAAAGCAATAGCATCCACATAAATATTGGTTACCAAGTTGCTGAGTTTATTCTCAATGGAGAGAATTAAATTTTCGGACACTTAAAGAACAATATCTTTTGAATTGTTCCTCACTAAACTGCGGGATATTCATTGATCAGCATTTTAACTTGACTACCCTATTGTTCTTTAAGTGTCCATAATATAATTCTTTTCGTAGAGAATTCCGGTCAGACGAAACGTTACAGAAATATATTTATTTGTGTTAGTGTACACTGTACACAAATGCTCTTAAAACATACCGCCAAAATTATCATTACTATGAAAATCCCACAATATTGCACATAGCGATTTCCGATGCAGACAATTTATAGCGAATGATCATTAGTTGTTTAAGACGAAGTTAATCTCACGATCTCGATAAATCGCTTGATCGCAATCAAAACGTAACATTGCATGTCAAACGTTGTCTATAACGTTTCGATTCGAAACTGATAAACAGAATATTTTTTCAGAATCATACAAGCGAGGCGTTTTCCCCAAATAAAAATTCACGCCGCGGTTTGTACGTCTACGTGCAACGTTACTTATTTTACGTTGATAAGATCTGAACTTGAGTAAACGAAATAATGAAAACGCGACCGACGTTGAGCTGCCGCAGCCGTATCGTGAATGACAACAACACTATAAGCCTCGAGATAGGGTATGTTGTTATGCAGCAGGATTGGAATGCCTCCCATAGAAGTGACGTGAGTATTTATATTTTTGATTTCTTGTTCTCTGATAGCGAAACACAACATAAGAATAGGTTTAACTGTGTATCTCAGTTTTTTTCTGGTTATATCAATATTCAATGTCTCTTCCAATCGCGGTTCATTATCAAAACGAATACAAAGAAAGAGACAAATTGGATCCGGAATGTCGATAAATTATGGGTACCCCCGAAGTATGTGAACCAAGATGGCGGACACCGGAACGTAGTATGTGTACCAGGTTAGGGTTAGGCCATAATTTTATTCCAATTTTCCTTATTTTAGTTCTATTGCAAGTTCGGGGACTAGCCAAGTGACCGCAGTAGCATTTGTACCAGAAATCATGGCCTAACTCTAATCTGGCACACATACTACGTTCCGGTGTCCGCCATCTTGGTTCACATACTTCGGGAGTACCAAATTATGTGCATAAAATGATCTGTTTTTTATTTATATTTTTTGTTGTGATATGAAGAACACAAGCTCATAATACGTCATTGATCAGAAAGAACATTTGCTGCAATTCCCCAGCGTCGTTTTTTGTCGAATAGTAACTGAGCTAGATAGTACACTTACTGTGAAGCAAGATTTAAAAAATACGTGAAACAAATAAAGGACAGTATTTCTAAACGCACATCGCTTCAGAAAAAGGGTATTTTGATCACGATCATCTGAAAAGAACGCTTATGGTTCAACGCAGCTCTGTTCAACGACAGCGATGAATAAATGATGGACCCCATCTAAAATCTGAAGCTGTATTATTTTAACTATATTTTGCCAAAGGATGAAATGCTCAGAGACTGAATGCTGTTTTCTGACCCATTATATTATGTTGTGGAGTGAGGACGCAAATTGACGTTGTATTTTTGTAGGCTCATGGAATACGCATCCATCTACAATAAAAATAATGAACCTACTATCGATATTATTTTTTTTTATTTGAAAAAGCAAGTTTATGCATATATTGCGAATATAAACTGTTGAGTTTTTGTGACTTGGCTTCATATATGAATCGATTTGAAATTAACTTCCTTACCCGTCCGAATTGACTTTGATATCCTATATATATGCACATAAATGATGCTCGATCATTGAAACTTGACTAGTGCTCAAAACTAAAGTGGCGATTCTAATTACCAGAAGCTGATAACTATTTACTCAATATTAATTGAAGGTCTAGATTTGAAAAATTAACAGTTTAACACTTAATTGCGGGCCATGGAAAAGCGTTACGAGATGGGTGGGTGAAATTTACGAGGCCATGTCAAAATTGTTACAAGTAGTGATTGTGAGGTTCCCAAAACCCAGAGCTAACGACATTAATTGCAATATCCGATGTCATGTTATCAAACACATATTCATGCCGTCGGATATGAACATTTCTTTACATAAAACTGCATCTCTTTTATTGAGCTAAATACTGAAATTCTCGATTGTAATACAATGTTAACTGACTCAGTGCCATAACGGGATATAATGGAAATAAGGGAATCAGTCCTTTTCTATTTTCGAAGGCTGAATTTCGAGACTTTTGCGAAAAGTAAACTACGGAGAAGCCATATCTTATACGTTTGATTAATTTTGTAGAACGTAGGATGATTTAATAGATTACATTGTGCGTAAATAAAAACCAGTCAATATTTCTGTCATCGACTGAGAATTAATTTCCGAACGGTATGAAATGATACGTATTTTCAATAATATTCCTGGCTGACGCAGAATCAAAATCATATCGTATTTCTACAGTGGTAACATATCCCCTGTTCTCTAATAACCCACAATCATCCAGTGTAAATTACTATTCATTTTTAATGTGTTCGTGCGTCAATTGCGGTACGTTCTACCATCATCCATCACCGCCATTGAACTGGAGAAAGTGGTGTGAAATAACATGAAAGCAATAAGCCGCGACGTTTATAGTAGCAGACACTACCTCATTCAAATTCCAATAAAACATTGTGTAGAAAACACTGTGCTTGGGTAAAAAATGTGTTGGTCTCAACCTTAAAAGGTAGATTTCACAAATTATATCTTCAACCAGATTATTCCAGAATTTTTCTAATCAAGTTACACAAATGACAAAGGGGTTTGGCGTTTTTGCAAGCATATACAAAAGCTCTAACATGTTGGATAATTCAAAACTGGAGTCAAAGCTTTGGTTATTCTCAATTTGAAACGTTTTGATTTTGTTCGTGGTTCTTTGTCTACTCTATTGCTAAGGTGTATCAAACGAATCACACTAGAAAGTTGATAAATCTTCATTTCATCTTCATTCATTTTATTATTCGCTTTGAAATTCGCATTAACTTTTCAGAAAAGTATACAAGTTTTAATCGCCACTTTACAAGAACATTTGAAAATTATAAGCATAATTTGAGGAAATTAATACCAATTATCAATCTCTTTAATGTTCTTGACTTATATTCCTGACTTCGACAGCTGACAGTTTAGGTCTTTTCTAAGAATAAAGCGGCTGTCAATAAAACGATGGTCGAAACATTTGTCCAAATGCAATTGAGAACTAAAGACATCAGATAGATATTTTTGACAGATTTTTGGTTAGATATATGCGGGGAAACAGCTGATATTTTTTTGTGTATGACACTAAATACTTACCAAGCACAGACACGTATGCTATTCGAAAACACCCATTGGCGTTTGTTCACAGCGAAGCCAGTTATTAATACTTTCGAGGACGGAGATCACAATTACGTATAAAGTTAGTTAAAATTTGTATTTTTTTTTTCATTTTGGAAACTTGTACCTGTTGTTTACCATAGAGAATTGATCGGCGTGTTACTAAACATTACAGATTCCCCTTTCCTACCCTAGTTCTTCCTCCATTCATAATTTAAGCAAATTACGAATAAATTGGCTTAACGCCATTTACGTAAGCGTGAAACATAATTTCTTATGATCGATCAATTAGCTGTGCAATTTGACAAGAACATGGCAATCGTGTTTTGACGTCGAAAGCGACAAAATAAGCTACGGTATCCTAGACTTAACAAACCAACGTTTAATTAAAAAAATCTATATAGGCTGTTTGGTGTTCACGAGTTCAAGGGATACGAAACTTCGAGTTTAATGCCTGTGCACATAGTGATACTGCACTGTAATGAACATTATAACAATGATTTATGTTTG